CAGGAATGGAAGGAGCTTTAACAGTGTCTGCCCTGTGGTTGTGGAGGAGCCAGTCTGTGCACAGGACAATCAAGACCCTATCTTTGTGTCTACATTTTAACATGTCAGATCAGGATTCATCTTGTAATCATTGATATCTTTTTTTTTTTTTTTTTTTTTTTGAGACAGAGTCTCGCTTTGTTGCCCAGGCTAGAGTGAATGCCATGGCGTCAGCCTAGCTCACAGCAACCTCAGACTCCTGGGCTTAAGCAATCCTGCTGCCTCAGCCTCCCGAGTAGCTGGGACTACAGGCATGCTCCACCACGCCCAGCTAATTTTTTCTATATATATTAGTTGGCCAATGAATTTCTTTCTATTTATAGTAGAGACGGGGTCTCGCTCTTGCTCAGGCTGGTTTCGAACTCCTGACCTTGAGTGATCCACCTGCCTCGGCCTCCCAGAGTGCTAGGATTACAGGCGTGAGCCACCGTGCCCGGCCACCAATGATATCTTAAGATTAATTTGTAGCCATTTTTCTTTCTTAATGGCATCTTCTCTCTCTTTTTTTTTCCTTCTTTTTGGTAGAGAAGATGGGGTCTCACTCTTGCTCAGGCTGGTCTCGAACTCCTGAGCTCAAGTGATCCTCCCACCTCAGCCTCCCAGAGTGCTAGGATCACAGGCGTGAGCCACCGTGTCTGCCCTTAATGGCATATTCTAATTGAGATTATTTTAGATTTATTGAAATACATCACCTAGTGGGGCTGGTGTTGAGCAGTCTGTACCAATGCAGGCTTAGTAGCCCCAACTCCTCAGATGTGAATTAGCCCAGGAAGGAAATATCTTTCTCTTTTTCTAAGTCAGTAATAAAAAAATGATTTGACTTGGCCATAAACCTATCCTGAGTTCTACTAAGACTCCCAACAAAGGTACGCTGGAGGGTGGCTTTGTGAGTATGGATGAGTCAGGACTGCAGAAGACCCAAGGTGCCCTTGGTCTGGGTTCTGCCATTGTTTCTTCGCCCTCGGCCCTCAGCCCTGCACTCAAGAGTCAGGGACTTCCTCCCTGCTGCTGGCAGCCTGCAGGCCCCTCTGCTTCTCTCTGGCCCTGCTCACCCTGGCCACATCTTTGTCAGGACAGGCTCTGGTGCCAGCCCCACATCCATTCTTGCCCACCCTAGGGGTCGGGCCTTTCTCTTGGTCCTTGTCTTATCATATCTCCATTGTCTCCCCATCTGAGCCCATTCTTACACCCAGATCTAGTGGCTTCTGGGAGCCCTGGAGGAGAGGTCTCAGTTGCTAGAGCCCATGAGCCCCATCCCTCCATCCTGTCTGTCTTGAGGCAGATCTCATCTACCCCAAGCCCAGACTTGGCCCCGTCAGATTCTGTGTGGCCCTGGGCGTTTGTACTTCCTGTGGCTCTTAGGAGAGTGGCTGACTCCTCAGCACCCCAGAGCTGTGGCTAGTAATTATAGGTACAGCTTATATCCCACTAGCTGAACAAAGGACTTCTCCATGTGCCTCAACAGAGGGAGGACAGGGGTGGGAGGTTGGAGCAGGCACTCGGGGAACACAGCCTGAGCCATGCAGGCCATCTGTGGTTTGACACCCCTCTCTGCTTTAACTCACAGTTTCAGGGGTTGTTGATCTGTTTCCTGGAATAGAGCTGAGTGCCTTGGGGATTCTTCTTGGTGAATGGGTTGTTGTTAGGAGAAAATGAATCACCAGAAATAATGTAAAAAACATAGGTTTACAAAGTGGGAAGTGTCAGCAGTTCTGAGTTGGGACTGAGTCAGTTGTAAAGAGAACCATCATGGTGGAGTTATTTCAGCTTACACTGCAGCCAACAGAAAGGCAAGATGGCAGCCCCTCCCTGGGACTAGATTCTAGTGGCTTTCAGGAAGTAAACAGTGTTCAGGCTGGCCTGAGCTGCGGAAGTACTGATGGGCTGAGAGGGCACCCACTTACACAGCCTTTCCACAGCCCAGGTAGTGCTGGGCGAGCCCATGGCCGCTGTGCTGAACCCAACTGGACAGGCCATCTCGACAAAGTCCAGACCACCCAGCAGACCCCTCCTCCGCCTTGTGACCCAAGAGTGGCAGGCCTGGACTATGGCCAGTCCCCTCAGGGAGCTGCAATGGTCTTCCAAGAGCATCCGATGGCCTTCTCCCCCAAGTGGGGCTCTGCAAATACATGTTTTGGAAGTCTCCCAAATGAACTCTGAGTTCAGGACATTTGGTTCTCAACTCCAGCTGCAAATTGGAATCATCTAAGGGGCATTTTTAACGTGTGGGTGCCTGCCCCCTAGCCACAGAGGTGGAGTGGGCCCAGTGGGCCCTGTCATGCAGTCAGTTGTGAACCACTGCTTTGAGAGCACAACTGGCTGCTCCTGGCTGTCATGTGGAGAACAAAGGCTCGTGTCTGAGGAAAGCAGTTGTACATTCTGTTTCTGCGCTTGGCCCTGGCAGGGGCACAGGTGAGCCATGCATGTAGGGTCACTTGCTCCTGGATACAGCTGCTCCATATCTGGGTAGTGCCCGAGGGCCAGTCGGGAGCTATCTGCACCAAGCCATGGAAACCCAGCCCATTCCTTATCCCAAAGTGGTTCTGAACCCTCACCCCCACAAGTGGAACCCCAGATACTGAAAAGAGCACAGTCTCTGGAACAAGAACCCTTCTACCATATACTGGTTGTGTAATTTCAGGTGAGTCTCTGGGCCTCCCTGTTCTGATCTGTGAAACCTGGAAATACTGCCTCTTATATGGGATTGGCAGAAGTACAGTGCATCAAAACACCAACAGGGAAGTTACAGAAAAATAAAATAGCAGCCCCCCCCCAAAAAAAAAGATAAAATATTGCCATTACAATTTTTCCACTGGTGACTGGTGATTTAAAACAATGTAACAATTCATATTAATATACTAAAAATGTCATTTTAAGTTATTCTAATCATGCCAAGGTACCCACATGCTCCCCTCCCCACAATCATAGTATAAACAAAGGTATTTGAACCATGGAAATGTTTGCCACTGACATGGTCCTGGGAAGATCTAGCTCAATTTGGAATTCCTGAGAAGATGCCTCAGGCCTAAGGGAAAGTGGCTTGCATAGAGAAAAGCACAAATTTGGTTGTGTTGCCTACCACTTCATGGGCAAAAGGACATAGACCCCCAAGGACAGCCTTGGTGATACGGCCCCTGCTCACCTGCCCAGCACTGTCTCCTGCTGCCACTTGTATCTTGGGCCCCAAGAGATGTCATGCCATTATCACCTTTGCTGTTTTTCCCCTCGCTTCTTTCCTATGGTCAGGGTGGTGTCACTGTGAGTTCTCATAGAACCCTCCATGGCTGGTTCTCCCTAAGAGGATATATATATATCAGGGACTCTTATTTTTTTTAATTAATTATTATTATTTTTTTTTGAGACAGAGTCTCACTCTCTTGCCCAGGCTAAAGTGCTGTGGCGTCAGCCTAGCTCACAGCAACCTCAAACTCCTGGGCTCAAGCAATCCTCTGCCTCAGCCTCCCAAGCAGCTGGGACTACAAGCATGCGCCACCATGCCCGGCTAATTTTTTCTGTATATTTTTAATTGTCCGGCTAATTTCTTTCTATTTTTTTTTTAGTAGAGATGGGGTCTCACTCTTACTCAGGCTGGTCTCGAACTCGAGCTCAAGCAATCCTCCCACCTCGGCCTCCCAGGGTGCTAGGATTATAGGCGTGAGCCACCACGCCTGGCCAAAAAGGGTTCTTTTGGAAAAGTTGAAAGTTCTTGTTTTTGCAAAGTATTGTGGATATTGGAGAGCATCTCATCTCTGTTCTGCCCCTTTATCCAACATGCAGAACAGTTCCAGGCCAAAGTTTTAAAAAACTAAGAATAAAACATTCCTAGTGAAGTGGGCGTGGAAAGACCCTGTGCTTTCATCAAGGGTCTTTTGAAGACCCTGCTTCCAGTGGTCAGAGGAGTCTTGGTCGTGGAAAATGGACTGGACAGAAGTCAAGAGACTTGTGTTGTTCCCTCTCTTCCTCTCCCAGTGTGATGGTGGGCAAGTCACTGGCCCCACACCTGCTTCCACTTCCCCATAGATGCTAGTTTAGTCCTCCCTCCCACAGGAAACCACAGCATTATTCCAGTACTGTACCGTTAGGGTGAACTGTGTAGGTCCAGGACAGCCAAATATTGGCAATTTCCCGTGATTCAATTTAACAGCCAGTAACCGGTCTTATTTATTAAATACTATCTTGATCCTAGCAGTACTATGAGGCAGCATTATCAAAGCCCAATTTACAGATAATGGAACTGGCACTTCACTGTATAAAGATTGTTGTACGTGGGGCTGACTCTAGAGCCCATGTTTTCTCCATTACTGAGGTGAGTTCTAAAATAAGACATCCAGTGTTGCTATTTTTCCATTTCTTATTAATAATTACTGGATACCAGTTACAGTGACAACGCTGTGGTTTGAGAATTACAGGCCTTGCGAAATTCCCATGAATTTCCTTGCTCTCTGGCTCTTTCCTCCTTAAAATTTTCCTTCCCCAGGGGTCGGCCACCGGCGTATGGTCTGGTCACACGTGGCTAACTCTACCCTCTGCATAACTCATCCTTGGAGAACTGGGTAAAGTTTTAACAAACCAAAATATGTTTGTTCTTTATTTGTGGGTAAAAAGCCCGGAGATATTTATATATTTTTAAGAATACTATTGGGAAACAGCTCAGCAGCCTAATTTCCACCATCTGCGAAAAACACTTTGCTCCTCTCTGAGCCCCAGGACCCGGGCTGGGCGGGGCGGGGGACCAGTGGGCGGCACGCCCGTCGTCCCTACTTCTGTGAGCTCTTTGAGGGCAAACCCTCACGCTTCGCATCATCAAATTTCCAGATCTGAAACCCACTGCAAGCAACGACCATGGCAGGGCGGCGAGCTGCGGGCATAAGCGCTCACCGGCCAGGTGGGGTAGGCGGCAGAGTCAGGTGCCCACACCACGCGGCCCCGCCCCGCAGAGGCCCCGCCCCCGCCGACGTGGTCCCACCCCCGCCGCGCCGTGGTACGTCCCGCGCTGCGCTCGGCCTAAAATGGCGGCGCCCGTGTGCAGCCGACTGCTGGGGCAGCGGGTAAGTGGGCGACGCCGCGGGGCCCGGCGAGTTGGGTGTGGGGTCCCAGGTTTCCGCCTCACGCGTCCTCCCCTTACAGGTGCTGCCCTGGAGCGGAGAGCTGCCTTGCGCCTGGCGAGCCCTGCACACCTCCGCCGTCTGCGCCAAGGTGAGCGCGGCCGGGGCGGGGGGCGGGGGGCGGAGGGCTCAGGGGCGCGGCGAGCGGTGAGGGGGTGTGGCCCGGGGGCTGGGGGCGGGGCTCGAGCCGGCGCTGGGGTGAGGGCTGGGATCCTGGGGCGGGAGGGCGGTGCGGGCTGGTGGCGGGGGTTAAGGTGAGGGGTAGCGGGGTCGCCGGGCGGATCCGGGTCCAGTGGAGTCACAGCCCGCTTTGCTCCTAGAACCGGGCGGCCCGAGTCCGCGTGAGCAAGGGGGAGAAGCCGGTGAGTTACGAGGAGGCACATGCGCCGCACCACATCGCCCACCGCAAAGGCTGGCTGTCGTTGCACACAGGTGAGGGGACTCCAGGGCCTCGAGAAGGAGCATTCAGTCAGACAGACACGCAGAGAAAATGAGCACGCGTCACAGATTTTATTGAACTCAAGAAATAATGCCAGGGTCAGAAATCTTTTAAACAAATTCAAGGAGACATTAAAAAGTAGTGACATGTATAGATCAGGTTGTTGAAAAGAATTTGAAGATGGATGCAAAACTTTCTTTTTCCATGAGGGGGACGCGGACTCGAGCCCCCACTGTATGTCTACAGCTAAGAGTTGCTTTTCATTCCTATCAGCTATGTATAATTTACAGAGATGTAAAATAGCTCAGGGGCAATGAAAGGCGTGAAGTCCACATGGAATCCGATAACCTGAAGGGCGTATTCTAAGTAACGCAGTTTTCCTCTGAGGCACAAATTTTTCTCTACACAAGTATGTATAGTTGATCCTCATTATTCATGGATTCCATACTGGTGAATTCTTCTACAAACTGCAACTTACTCATATCCCCCAAATCAACACTCTAGGCACTTTGAAGGGCACTCTGGGATGTGGGCAGAGCAGTGACACCCCACATGCATGTTCCAGATGAGGAACATGCCAAAGATCTGCCTTATTTCAGCTCTCATATTGTAAAAAGTGTCCTTTTCATGGTCCAGAGCCATATTCTTTATATTTTTGTGCTTCTTATTGCTGATTTTGCTATTTAAAATGGCCTCGTAGTGCTGAGGTACTATCTAGAGTTCCTAAGTGTAAGACAGCTATGAATGTTATGGAGAACTTATTCATGTTAGAGAAGCTTTGTTCAGACATGAGTTCAGTGTTAAGGAATCAGCCTGATTGATTGATTGAGACAGAGTCTCACTCTGTTGCCCATGCTAGAGTGCCGTGGTATCAGTCTAGTTCACAGCAACCTCAAACTCCTGGGCTCAAGCAATCCTACTGCCTCAGCCTCCCGAGTAGCTTGGACTACAGGCATGTGCCACCATGCCCAGCTAATTTTTTCTATATATTTTTAGTTGTCCAGCCAATTTCTATCTATTCTTAGTAGAGACCAGGTCTCGTTCTTGCTCAGGCTGCTCTCGAACTCCTGATGTTGAGCAATCCTCCCACGTTGGCCTCCCAGAGTGCTAGGATTACAGGTTTGAGCTACTGCGCCTGGCCGAATCAGCCATATATATATATATATTTATTTATTTTGAGACAGAGTCTCACTCTGGGCTAGAGTGCTGTGGCGTCAGCCTAGCTCACAGCAACCCTCCAACTCCTGGGCTCCAGCAATCCCCCTGCCTCAGCCTCCCGAGTAGCTGGGACTATAAGCATGCGCCACCATGCCCGGCTAATTTATTTATATATGATATATATGTGATATATATATATATATATTTTTTAGTTGTCCAGCTAATTTCTTTCTATATTTTTAGTAGAGACTGGGTCTTGCTCTTGCTCAGGCTGGTCTTGAACTCCTGAGCTCAAATGATCTGCTGGCCTCGGCCTCCCAGAGTGCTAGGGTTACAGGCGTGAGCCACCACGCTCGGCCCAGCCACATATATTTATAAAAAGGTGTCTTTAAACAGAAACGCACATGAAGCCACGTTATGTATTGATGTGTTGATAAAAATATTATGAGCAGAGGCTTGAAAAAACCTAACCCTGTATGGTTCAATATTCACTAATTCAGTATTCACAATGACTTTATTATTATTTTTTTTTCCTTTCTTGATACTACATAATTTTACTAACTCAACACTGGGCAAGCTAGTAGTTGGGATGTCACATAATTATGCTAGGGTCTAATAAGCATGGAAAACCAACCATCTGAATCCAGCTAACCTATAAAAATATGACTTTTTATTGTCTTTCTCTTCTATTTCTGGGAAAGGAGGGCTCTCCTTTATACACCTCTTGGGCCAGCAGTAGGCTTGGGTTATAATGTTCCTTTTTGGTACAGTTGCAAAAGAAGTCATCACATTCTTGAGGGTTTGACATCTCTTGGAAAGAAGAAAACTAGAAGACAGATTGATGAGCTGGATTTGCTTAGATGGATAACATTTATACTAGGAGTCCAGCTGACATGGTGTTAATGCTGAATCACCATGCCTGTGCTAGTCAGCAAGTTCAGCCAGCTGATCAGAATACCATCCCCAGACTTTTAGGTGACACACTTTAATTGAGTTCTCACTGTAGAGTCATGGCCTCGGCTCCATCAGCTGTGGTTATCTTCTTTGATTCGATGCCTATCAATCCTTACCAGCTGTAGCAGCCACTGCTTGGTAAAACTTTGCAACGAAGTCTGGCTCACTGATCTCCAGTTGCCTGACAAATTCATTGTACTCCTGCTCAGCCCAACCTCGAAACCACTGATCCCAAAGACGTAGCTGGCACTCATAGATAGAAGGTGGTCGGTTTGCCCCAGACACACTAAGCTGCTCCAAACCATCCAGTAGTGGCTGCAGTTTTCCTGGCACTGCCTTAGCTACCAGGTCCCGTAGGAAACGTTCACGTTGGGGACCTGATCGACTGGCAAACCAGCGAAGAACACACTTCATCTCCTGGGAAGTGATGTAAGACATTGGGGGAAGGGAAGAGTCAGTAATATTGTCTGGTACTGAGGGCAAGAGAGAAGGGAAAGGTAGTGGGCATCAAAGAGGAAGATGATTCCAGTGGCATCCTCCCTTTCCTCTCAGAGGGCACCCCGAGATCGTCACAAGAGTCCTTAGACTTCAACTACTGCCACTGCTTTCATGTTTCCTGAAAACCCACAATGACTTTATAGAATATAACTACTGTGAACTGTTGAGAATCAACTGTGTTTTGTTCCATATGAGAGTTTTTAACTTGGATATTTGAGATGCATCTAGAGAACTTACTTAAAATACAGATTCTTATCCCCTCCCTTTGAGGTTCTAGTCTGAGGTCTGGGTGTAGACTCTTCTAACAGACATTTTAAGAGCTGCAGGGGAGTTGGGTCCACACTGAGAATCCACTGGGGGAGGCTGTGGCCCTGGCTCATGAAAGAGCTTGTGTCCCTAATCTTAAAAGTAGCTGGTGACCTCATCTTCTGGCCCATGGAAGGACCAGTGCTTTTATAAGGCAACCAAGAAAGGCTAGGAAAGGGGCTGGATGTGGAGGCATCGTTTGAGTTGTGCCCTGGCTCAGGCCTCCATCTTCCTTTTTATAAAACAAGGATGATGATAATACCTACTTCATAGGAGTGGTTTGAGAATTAATGAAATAATGTACTTTGAACTTCCATTAGTTGAAGAAAAGAGAAGGGGCCGTAGGTAAGGGTGGAATTGAGTGCCCAGAGCTTTTGGATGTTGACTAGGGAGTTTTGGCAGGTCCCTGTAGCAACAGGGCTGACTCCTCTTGGTGTCCTTACCTCCTCAGGTAACCTGGATGGGGAGGACCATGCTGCAGAGCGAACAGTGGAGGATGTTTTCCTTCGAAAGTTCATGCTGGGTACCTTTCCAGGCTGCCTGGCAGACCAGCTGGTCCTAAAGCGCCGGGCTAACCAGGTGGAGATCTGTGCCATGGTCCTGAGGAACCTGCCTGCACACAAGTACTACTTCCTCGTGGGTTACAGTGAGACTCTGCTGTCCTACTTTTACAAGTGTCCTGTGCGAATCCACCTCCAAACTGTGCCTTCGAGGGTTGTGTATAAGTACATCTAGGACAATTCCTTTTTTTTTTTGTATCAAGCTGTAGCCGCAAAGAATAGAAACGTGGAAAAGGAGTAAAATAGAACAAGAGGGAAACATCTCCTTGGAGGAGGCATCATTTCTCAGCTGCTGTTGAATAAAGACCCTCCATATTGTCCTGCTGCTTTTTTGACTTTACTCTTTTTCTTTTATTTCAGAAACAGGTTCTTGCTCTATCACCCAGGCTGGGGTGTAGTGGCATCATCATAGTTTGCTGTGAACTCCTGGGCTTGAGTGATCCTGGCCTCCTAAAGTGTTGTGATTACAGGCGTGAGCCACCATGGCTGGCCTGTCTTTACTTTTTTTTTTTTTTTTGAGATAGAGTCTCACTCTGTTGCCTGGGTCAAAGTGCAGTGGTGTTACCATAGCTCACTGCAATCTTGAACTCCTAGGCTCAAGCAATCCTCCTACCTCAGTCTCCCAAGTAGCTAGGACTGGAGGTGGGTGCCATCATGCCCAGCTAATTTTTCTGTTTTTTTATAAAGAGGGTCTCACTGTGTTGCTCAGACTCGTCTCAAACTCCTGGCTCGCAAAGTGCTAGGATTACAGGTGTGAGCCACTGTGCCAGCCCTGTCTTTACTCTTTAAGTGAGGGAACCAGGGTAGGGTTTCTTTGAGGGTGCTTCAGTGCTCGTAGGAAGGCTGCTAGTTATCTTAAGTTCAGCTGACAGTTACAGTTCAGTGTGTACCTTGTGCCAATCACTCTTTCTGGCACTTTACCTAAGTTCTTTGTTTTCTCTCAAAATGGAAAGATCCATTTTCGGTGATAATAAAATAATAGTAATTTTTCAAAAAGCAGTATGAGTGCTCACTTTGGCAGCACTAAACTTGGAGCAATACAGAGATGAGCATGGCCCCTTGCAAGGGTGACATGCAGATTTGTTAACCATTACATGTTTTTAAAAATAAAAATCACAGAATGGGCCAGGTGTGGTGATGCACCTGTAGTCCCAGCTACTCAGGAGGCTGAGGTGGGAGGATGGCTTGAGCCTGGTAGTTCAGGACCAGCCAGGGTAACATAGATCTCATCTCAAAACAATATGAACATGTATCAAATTGAAAATGAAGCTTTCTTGTAATTCTTCCCTAGAGAGTACTGTGAACAGTTTGTTACATTTTATTTCCAAGTGTACCTTTTTCCAGAAATACTTTGATTCATCATTTATAAACTTTTATTGAGAACTTACTCGTACCAGGCACTCTTCTAGGTGCTTGGGGCTCATTAATGAGCAAAATGTTCCATTTCAAGATTGCTGCTCATATCCTAGTGGAGGGGCAGGGAGGTGACACAGCATTAGAGACCACACACAGCTTGAAGTGTAGACATGCAGTGTAATGGGAAGAGCATTTCAGAAAGTTGCATCCACGAACGCCAGCACATGGTGCCAGGAGGTGGACAGGGACTGCTGATCCTGACCTTGACCCCTGTGACCCTGAGCCTCAGCCTAATACACACCTAATTCTGACCCTGAACTTGACAATAGCCCTGACTCACAATAACCTTGACCCTGATGCAGACCTTTAGGATTTTTAGATTTTAAGTTAACATATTTCTCGGCCCTACCTTGAGGCACTGTGGTGATGGAAAAATAGAAACATAGAGTTTGCCTCCACCAGTGACCTCACAGCTTCTGAACTGGCTCAACATCACAGTGGCAAGTGGGGAGCATGCAAAGTTGAGAGGACAGTTACAGAAGCAAGAAATCTGACACAGGCTTCTCAGAAAATGCAGCAGAACCACCAAGGAACTGAAGGAGCAGCTTCCTGAGACTCTGCTCTGCCTCGAGGGCAGCAGAGTCTGAACTGCGCAGCTCTGGGCCTGCAGCGCACACCTGCCGGCTCTCACCTGCACGCTGCCTCTTCTTCTCGTCTCATCTCCTCCAGGCAGCCTTCTGAGTGCCGTTCCTATGGGACGTAACACCTTCCAGTGCCTCCGCACTACATTAATAAACCATATCCCAGCTCTTACATCTGACTTCTAGGTCCCCCCAAAACCACATTTGGGACTCCTCCTCCATTCCCCAATGCCCCAGCAACACTCCCCGGTGTGCTCCCGCCGCCTCTGCTCCTGTTCCTTTGTTCCTGCCAGTCCTGCACGAGGAGGGCCCTCCCCGACCCTCACCTGTCATCGAGAGCCAATCCATAAGTCTCCCCGAACCTTCCTCCAGGCCCACAGGTGCATATCTCTACTGGACGAGCTACAGCACAGTGACTGCCTTGTGTGGCTGGTTCCCTTGGGACGCTGAGTTACTGAGGGCAATGGCTGCATCTTACCTGTTTTTAGAATTCCCAGCAGCTAGCAGTTACCCAGTGAAAGTTTGTGAGACAAAACTGAAGGCAGTGTTTTGTAGTGGTTCAGAGCACAGGTGGGGCGTAAAGCCTGGTTCTGCCATTTACTGTCTAGGTGACTTCAAACAAGCCTTTCTAGAATGCTACTGAAGACACGCCTGGGAACGTCCCCTCACAGGGCTGGGACCAGGCATTTAAGCACTTAGCTAAGCTCAGCCAAGATCAGCGCACCTGAACCCACTGCACAACTCCAACCCCAAATATCACCCCCAACACAGCTCGTAACAATAAACCAATCCTGTTTACCCAACATGTTTAATTGTAAGAATGGAGATAAAGATCAACTCCCGGTAAGAGCCAAACTCTGGTCCCATCTTGGGAGTGCCGTGGCCTCACTTCCCGGGACAGCAGCGCTTCTGGATTTCCTCCGCAAGCCCCAGGCAGTGCAGGATGCGTTTCTTCTCCGCAGCCAGTTCCTTCTCCGAGAACTGGCCCAAGAGTTTCTGCACAAATATATTTTGATCTTTCAGGAAAATGTTCTTATTGACACCTACATTTGGCACATTCTCCAGGGACCCAGACTTGAAGTGGAAGCTTAAATATCTGTTTCGTTTTAAACCGGGCCCTTTCTCTTCAATCCATGACAGCGGACTGCAAAGACAAAATAAACATGTTAGAGATGACACAGGAGCACAAATGGGTGCTTGCTGGTACCTGATCTGCTGACAGGTCCTCACTGTGCACCCACTGTCCCTGCTGCTGTAGCTCAATGTGGTGGCTTAGGTGGCACCTGACCTCCACCAGCCTCCCAGAGGCCATGGGTGACTGTGTTTCCAACTTTATGGCAAAATAGTCCTTTATTGAATTTTGCCATCAGGCAGGGGAATTCACTCAGTGACTTTTGTGTGAAGACCTGTTAGTTATTCCAGAGTCTTCACCCTGAGTCTCCTAGGGTCCTTCCAGGGGCTCCAGGCACAGACCACAGGCAACGCAAGAGCCGCCTGCGACAGTGTGCAGACTGCTTTCCCACGTGGATGTACGTACGCTTTCATGAGGAAGTTTCTTAGTTCTTTCACCAGATTCTCAAATGTCTGAATCTGAACACATGTCAGAAAATGCCCACTACCAGTTAACAAGGCACCTGTTTCCATTTCAAATCCCCACCCTCCCCACCCAGGCTCACATCCACACTCAAAAGTCCGAATAGGACAGACTGCAGTTCCTCCAAGTCTGTCCTTTCTCTGGGCTGTTGCTCTCTTTATAACAGATAAGAGCTGTGATATCTGCTTATGGAAAACAGAGAAATCTTCTCCCTTAGTACATTTTTGACCTAAAGTAAAAAGCTTCACTGTTTACAGAAAAAATATAAAATCTGCTCTTTTAAATATATTCTATAAACTATACAGCGTTGATTTAAGGACTTTTCATTTATTTATTTTTTTTGGGAGATAAGATCTTGCTCTGTTGCCTGGGCTGGAGTATGTTGGCGTCATCACAGCTCACAGCAACCTCAAACTACTGGGCTAAAGCGATCCTCCTGCCTCAGCCTGAGTAGCTGGGACTACAGGTGCATGCCACCACGCTCAGCTAATTTTTTCTATTTTTTTTTTTTGAGACACTTTGTTGCCCAGGCTAGAGTGAGTGCTGTGGCATCAGCCTAGCTCACAGCAACCTCAAACTCCTGGGCTCAAGCGATCCTCCTGCCTCAGCCTCCGGAGTAGCTGGGACTACAGGCGTGCACCACCACATGCCGGCTAATTTTGTAGTATATATATTAGTTGGCCAATTAATTTCTTTCCATTTATAGTAGAGACGGGGTCTCACTCTTGCTCAGGCTGGTTTCGAACTCCTGACCTCGAGCAATCCGCCCGCCTCGGCGGCCTCCCAGAGTGCTAGAATTATAGGCGTGAGCCACCTCGCCTGGCCAGAATTTTTTCTATTTTTGATAGAGACGGGGTCTTGCTCTTGCTCAGGCTGGTCTTGAATTCCTGGCCTCAAGCAATCCCCTCAGCTCAGCATCCCAAAGTACTAGCATCACAGGTGTGAGCACTGTGCCCAACCAAGACTTTTTAAATGAAAAAAAATAAGTCTATAAAGTCTTCCACCTAAATAAAAGAATCTTCAGTTTAACATAATCCTTTCAAATATTTGTATGCATATGGCATATAAAGCCATAAACAATTTTTTTTAGAAGGAAAGGAGGTTATCAATTTGCCGGCAAATGAGGAGGCTGGCAGACTCCCATCTCAAAGTACAAGCATCCTCAGCAATTTTTGATTATGCTTCTTTTGCTTATTTAAAAATGTTTCTGACCCTATAGATTCTGCTATTGTGATTATTCTGTGTGCATATCATACACAATTGATTATATGATTTACTTAATATTTTACTGTTGCCAAATTTATAGGTATCTTGCATTCAGCATCTCCACATATATATTTTTCCTTCCTCCTTAGAATAAAGTCCCAGGAGTAAGATGACTCGGTGTTGGCCTCTGGCTGGTTCTCTTTGGTCCCCCTCCCTTTCCTTTTCCCACAGGGATGAGCTAGGGCCAACCACAAGGCAGTTTTGCTGGACTGCCGCACTAAGTCATGGGGTTTTCGCCTCCCATTTGGCTGCAGTAGGTCAGGCCTGGAGGCGCAGGTCAGACCAGTGATTCTAAGGAATGAAGGGAAACCACCTTCATCCTCTTTTGTTATCTGCTTCTAGAGTGGTGCTCCCTAATAAGGCTTAAGATTTAGGTATGGGATTGCAGGAGAGGGCATAGGAGGCCACTTAAGGTGTTTTGGGTGCTGTAGGAAGCTCCTGGCTGCCTCTAACCTTGGTAAAGGATTCCTCCCTGGGCAAATCTCACTTGCCACGACCGCCAGCACTGCGGTTGGTGGAGGGGGCGGTGCTCAAGAGGAAGTGATCTGAAATGCCCTATGGGGAACCATATCATCAGGACAGATGTTGGTATAATAGCATCCTCATTTTCTGACCCTGTCTGCTAAAAACTTGGAAAGTCATGCTGTTTCCTAACCACGGGTTTAAGTGACATCAGCTGTTGGCACCTTCCTGCCATCTGAATGGAGTAGAGGTAAGGATAGGACCTGGTCCACTCAAGTTCTGGGCTTGGACCATACCTGATACCAGACATTCCAACCAAAAACACAGGCCCGAGTTCACAGACAGCTCCTCTGCAACCCTCTGTGAAAATCTTCCTGTGCAAATGTTTGCATTTACCAAACTGGGCACTGACTACCTGAAGAAGTGCTACCTGCTTCTCACCTTCTACTGGAAGTTGTCCAATCATATCCATGTCCCTAGTGTCAGTGGCTGCCTGCAAGCATGGTGGAGGTGGTGCCTTTCTAACAAGCCATGAAGAAGAGGCAGGCAGGGCACCACTTTGGCACCACTCCTACCAGTGGACTTCAACATGAGAGTTAAAATTTGTACTCTTTTATATACTGATATCCACATAAGATTTGGATTGAAAAGGGGTCCTAATACCTATTTTTAAATTTTTTTAATTAAATTTTAAATATTATATATTTTTTCTTTTTTTTAATCTTGAACATTTTAAATTACTTCTATTTCTAATACCTATTTTTACAAAGTTAGAAAACTGCTGGTAAGATGCAAAGAACATGGATTTGGGTAAGTTGCGCCAGGGCTTCCCGGCTAACTCTGGGATCTGGGGCTAATGGCACCTGTCTCACTGCCCTGTGAACTCTGATCAGGTACAGACTATACCTGATATGTTCCTATGACAGTCCTTTCCTTGCCCTTTCTGAGCACTGCTGGGGAGAAGGCATGCAGCCTGGGGTATGGAGACAGGATGCCTGAGTGTGAATCCCACACAACCACTGAGTAGCTCTGTGCCCCTGGGCAAGTTCTTAACCTCTCTGAGCCTATCTCCTAAGTGATAACAATAATACCTACTTCAGCTGGGTGAGGTGGCTCACGCCTGTAATCCTAGCACTCTGGGAGGTGAGGTGGGCAGATTGCTTGAGCTCAGAAGTTTGAGACCAGCTTGAGCAAGAGCAAGACCCCATATCTACTAAAAGTAGAAAAATTAGCATCATGGCATGTGCCTGTAGTCCCAGCTGCTTGGGAGGCTGAGGCAGGAAGATCCCTTGAGCCCAGGAGTTGCAGGTTGCTGTGAGCTAGGCTGACACCATGGCACTCTAGCCCGGGGAACAGAGTGAGACTCCGTCTCAAAAAAAAAAAAAAAAAAATTAAAAAAACAATAAATAAATAAACTTGAGGTATTCCAAATAGTCTAATCCACCTATGACAATTTCTTATGTCCTTCCAAGTAACATGGAGTCTTGGGGTTAGAGGGGACACAAAGTGTGGAGATGTTCCGTGCCCCACAATTTCCTCCCCAGTAAAAATAGAAAGTATCCAGCTGTACCTACACCACGGTGCTGCCGAGAGATTAAAAATGTAATTTGTGAAGTGGGAAGTGCTATATGAATGTAAGAAGTCACAATTCTATGGTGTCTGCTGTCTGCCCCACCCTAGCCCTGTACAAACACCAGAGTCAGCCCCGCCCGCCACATCGCGTTTCCTCATGGCCTCAGACTTTGAGACCGAGCACGGCAGCCCCTCCGCTGAGAGCTGTGATCAGACTTCTGCAGGTTCCTCTTCCTCATGCTCTTGCAGCACCTTGAGGCTTCATTCGGGGACTTTTCTTTTTTAAATACCCAATGGTCTAGTTCTTTTACTACAAGGAGACCACCTGCCTGGAAACACATATAGAGATACTCTACAACCCTTACTGTTCTGAATATTCCACCCAGCTCAAATGCTCTGCAAGGAAAATTATGAATGGGATTTTTCCCCCTTTAAATTTTATTTCTTTTTTTGAGACAAGGTCTAGTTCTGTCCCCCAGGTTGGAGTACAGTGGCACAGTCATAGCTCACTGCAACCTTGAACTCCTGGGCTCAAGTGATCCTCCTGTCTCAGCCTCCTGAGTAGCAGGGACTACAGGTAGGTGCCACCATACCTGGCTAATTTATTTTTGTAGAGACTGGGTCTCACTATGTTGCTCAAGCTGGTCTCAAACTCCTGGCTTCAAGTGATCCTCCTGCCTTGGCCTCTCAAAGTGCTATGATTACAGGCGTGACCCACCATGCCCAGCCTTGAGTGTGCTTTTGCTAAAAAGACTTGGTATAAGAAATAATGAATCAGAACATTTTGGAACAGGTTAACAGTTATGCTATGATGATAAAGCTGAATCAAAGAACCTTAAATTCTGTTTTCACTGAGGGATGCATGCCTGCCTATGTGGTAAGTGGAGTACAGTGTTAATAGAAGAATCTAGGTGGTTAGGTGTATGAGTTCACTGCAAGATTCTTTCAACTTCACTGTATGCCTGAAAACTTTCACAATAAAACACTGGAAAAAATTCAGGTCACAGAGGTAACTCAACAGCTACTGCTAAATCTGATATTAATTGTTTGAGTGACTTAGGCAACCTTCTTAAATTCTGTAAGCCTGCATTTACTTACTGGCAAAGGGGATTACATCTGTCTTCTCTACAGAATTCACAGGGCTGCTGAGGACGAAAGGAGGCAGTGAGTGCAGCCTCAGTGCTCTGCGTGCGGCAGAAGCAGACAGCTCTTCTGGAGCTGGGGGTGATCATGCTTGTGAACACAGGAGGAGGTCCTGAAGTTCCCTTTTCCTCATGGCTTCTCATGACTTACCTCTTGTTCTCTGTCTCCAGGCACACAGTCATCTTCATATATTGATCTTCCTTTCGCTGTTCCAAAGTGGCAGACACAAGAGAAAGCTCCCCAAAGAGGGACACCAGCCAGGTCAGGCGAGAGATGCCACTGAACGCGGGGAAGCCGAACTTCTCTTCTTCCAACGGGCCAGCTGTGGGGAATCACAAACGCCATGGGGACTGGGAAGCAGGGGCTGCCAGGGGACAGCAGGACGCGGGTTGGGGGGATGGGGGGAGTGGGGAGTGAGAAGATGTGATGGAGTGATCAGGACAATGGGACCATGCCTTACGGTGGGGCTGTGCAAGATGGTTAACAATACTGATGGAGGCTGGGCGCGGTGGCTCACACCTGTAATCCCAACGCTCTGGGAGGCTGAGGCGGGAGGATCGCTCAAGGTCAGGAGTTCGAAACCAGCCTGAGCAAGAGCGAGGCACCGTCTCTACTAAAAATAGAAAGAAATTAGTTGGCCAACTGAAAATATATATAGAAAAAGTTGGCCAGGCATGGTGACGCATAAGAGGATCGCTTGAGCCCAGGAGTTGGAGGTTGCTGTGAGCTAGGCTGACGCCATGGCACTCTAGCCTAGGTGACAGAGTGAGACTGTGTCTCAAAAAAAAAAATACTGATGGAAACTCAGATGGCTAAATTTAAACTCTTTCATGAAAGCATCTCTCCAGGGGGGAGGGGGGGAAAGGGCATTTATTGAAACCTTAAAATTTGTACCCCCATAATATGCCGAAATAAAAAAAAAAAGCATCTCTCTTTTTCCTGTTTATTAAATTCAGCTTTTTTTTTTGAGACAGAGTCTTGCTTTGTTGCCCAGGCTAGATTGAGTGCCGTGGCGTCAGCCTAGCTCACAGCAACCTCAAACTCCCGGGCTCAAGCAATCCTTCTGCCTCAGCCTCCCCAGTAGCTGGGACTACAGGCACGCACCACCTATACCCAGCTAATTTTTTTCTATATATATTAGTTGGCTAATTAATTTCTTTCTATTTATAGTAGAGACGAGGTCTCGCTCTTGCTCAGGCTGGTTTCGAACTCCTGACCTCAAGCAATCCGCCCACCTCGGCCTCCCAGAGTACTAGGATTACAGGCATGAGCCACCGCGCCCGGCCTAAATTCAGCTTTGTTAGTAAAATAAAACATTCTACTGGAAACAGCAATCAATCAGTCAGACAGGATAATAAAGTTTCGGGCTTCTAATATGTACATCTATGTACATAAACGTAGACATACACACCCAAACACACATGGATATCCTATTCAATTAGTGATTTCAAGTAGTCTGGTCAAAACAGAAGAATCAAGATATTTTAGCCCCTGAAGCCTGACTTCTTATAAATGTCATGTGTATAGTGACAATAATAGGGTAAAGGTATCATAATAACTGCAAAGAAAATAGTAATACCTTTAAGCTATTTCAATATCAAGAAAATTGACAGTGTTAAATGTTTTCTTAGTCTTCCTAATCTCCTGTACAAAAAAGTACACTCAAAAGGGTATCTGTGAGAAATCTGTTTGGTCAAGGTACTGCTCCTCTGTCCCCAGCCCAAATCTTAAACATAACCTAAATTTAAAAGGCTTCATATCTGTTACATTACATCTTAAACCAGGCAATTCTTACGATGTTGATAGTCACATAAAACAATGAATAATTAACAATTAAGCATGTTCTTAGAAGACAAGAAGTTATACATAAAAGCAAACAAAAATTAGAAATCTCATATGGTTTGAAATCACTAGGATCTAAGTATCAAACTTGAAAAAGGAAGAAGACCCCCTGTGGGCTGGTTACTGTCTGCTCCGGTTCTTTGGACAGAGTTCTAAGCAGCCACTAAAAGTTTAAGTCACACAGTTAAGAGACCTGAGCTCCAACCTGGCTGTCACACGACCGGTGGGTGAACTTTGTTAAGCTACTCACTTCTGAACTTCAGTTTCTTTACCTGTATAATGGGTGTAATAAATATTCACTTTATAGGACTGTGATATGAAGTAAGATGCGATAATGCATGCCACATACACAGCACAGTTTCTTGTATAAATTAATGGTTACTATTTGTTGCCCCAACTCTCATTATGTCATTTTCAAGGATGCAGACAGAGTTTGAAATGAGGTTCTACTGTGTTCTCTGGAAACTCACGAGATGAGCAGTTTCACACAATGCCAGGCCATGTCAGGGTTTCCTTTCTGTAATGAAAGCCCTCAGGGAAGGTGGCCCAGGTACCCAAGGGAACAGCCAGACAAGGAGTTCATCCAAAGGTGACCGCAAGAGCAGGAGGCTCCAGCACGCTCCTTTCCCACCGCTAAGGGGGCTGCTCAAAGTATGACCGACGTAAAGTAAAAAGCCACATATACACTGGGTCAAATCCTGTGGTTCCAGCCAAGTTCCCTGTAATTTGCCAGGGGAGCAAAGGGGCTGTGCGTATTCTATTTGGAAGTACATAAATGTTCTCTCCGAGCACTCATCTCCTGGTCCTTTTTAAAAAATCCTGATGTACAACTTCATGTAGAAAAATAATCTCCACCTAGTTAACAGATTGGGACAGAAGCACAGATATGCTTGAGATTTCTAACACACTTTTACCCAAGGCCCACCAGACAAACTTCATTTGAGGAAGAATAAAAATAGGTATTTTTGCTGCTCATGGAAGTATGGGAAAGTTACATTGGCCCTGAGTCGCAGAGTCTTTAGCAGAAACAAATCTAAGCTCACATCCCAGAGAGATAGGAAAGAACCCAGTTGGCCTTCTGACCTCACCAGTGCCCTGGGATCCCACCTGAAACTGACCTGTGAAGAGAAGTGACCCTTTCAGCAGGTCTTTCCCCACCACTTCTTTTTTCAGGAATGCAAATTCCTCCATCAAGAGTTCAACATGCTCCTCATGCAAGACTTTTCCTGTCATGACAAAAATGGGATTAGAAAGGCAGTCAGTCATCATCGGTCGTGTCTAGTTGTGCATCCTGGAGTCTATGTCTGTCTTCTGCCAGCACGGGAAGTAAGGCACTCAGACCACCCTGGGCACACAGTCAGGACGACCCTGCGACCCCTCATACTCCAGCTGGGGGCAGTGTCACTTCTAACTTACAATGGAAATGAAAATCTAAGAAAGCAAAATGGTATCCGCCCATCCCCACAGGCAAGATGGGATCAGGGACGTGTCTGAGAGGCAGCAGAGTGTTAGCTTCTGTTCTAGACAGCAGGGGGCAGAGTGGCACAAAACTCTAAAAACAGTAGAAAAGTGATGAAAAGAACTGAAGGAGGAAGCTAAAATTATTCTTTATTTAAAAAATTGGAAGAACCTGACAATTTTTTAAAAAATGATCCAGTTTAGATGAAGGACAAAGCCTTAATATTCATAACTAGAATTTTGGATTCTAAAAGAAAGCTGTTAAAAATTTGTTCTTTTTTTACGCCCTTCCTTTTGCTCTTTTCCTGCTGCGACAATGGGTCTGGGTGTATGTATGATGCTCTATAAACCTGTATCTTGCTCTTGCCCTGTAATCCTATGTTTCTCTCCTCAATAGACCTCATTTTTGTGCATTTCATATCTAGGCCAGAAGCTTCATGACACACTGGACCTATTTTCAATTAAGTACAGAGTGTAGTTGTTACGATCTGCAGTTTCACTGAGACAGACAGAAATCTGGGCCACTGAGGGATGCTCCTGGGACAACAGCCTTTGCTTAACCCCACTTCACACAAACATGCCAGGTGTTCTGGGCGTGTCTTACACCCCCTGCGGGAGCAGGCACTCCCAGGAGGCTCCGGAGGGAGGAGTTAGGTGTGTGGGAGAGGGGTCCCTCCCACCCACTGCCTAGGATGGGAATGTGGCAAAGGGAGCTCCTTGCGATAAGCACAAACTTTCTGGCACAAAATGATTTAGTAGAAACTAAATGGCACAAAATGGTTTGCAATAAATAGAAGCTTCTCTCTTTGCAGGTAGTTTCGTCTGCCTCCAAAGGGACTCCGGGCATCTGGGAAGTTGGGCTGTATCTGTATTTTCTCTATCACTATGTAACAGACTATGTATCTTCCAGGTGCATTTTTGGTTATTTTTCTGTCACTCATTCAATGCTTGTGACAAACACATGGTAACCACAGTGCGTGCCCACTCACACCGACATGTATTCCTGGGTCTGTTCATTGAAGGGGCCTAAAAGCAGAGATGCCTTAAAGCTATAACACACTTAGCATCCAAATCTTGGAATCAAAATTCCATTAGCCATTGAAGAAATGACTAATTCCAGGGCTGAGGTGAGAAAATACAAGATGACCTAAACCATTTTGAGCCAGAAAGCAAGTAAGTACTCAAAGAATAATGGCAATGTAACAAAATGGCAAGGGAGTTGGCACGAAGAGGTTCCCTGTTGACCAAACTGGAACAATCTGAAGATCAAAGTAAATAGCAAAAGCAATAGATTATAATCCACTGAATAAAAGACCCAAAGCCATGATGAGTCCATACGGGCATAAAATAATAAACGAAAATCAGAGTGTGATGAGAATGGATATTTACCTAGTTTTAAACTACCCCCACACAAAATAATCATCAATTTTAAAGGGGAAAAGACACCACATTAATCAAGTGGTACCACTAGCAATGGGACAAACTGAAATTGGGTGCCACCTGATAGAATGCAGTGTGAAGAACCCAGCATCACTTTTACGATAAATCTATGAAAGAGGTGTACCCCAAATGTAATGATGAAGGAACATCAGATATACACCAACTTAGGCACATTCAACAAAATAAATCTGTAATACTCACAACTGCCAAGAAAGACTGATGAACTGTTCAGAGTGAGGGACATCAAAAGTGGCACGTCAACTGAAGACATTACATGATTTTTTTTCATAATGTTACATGATTTCAGACTCAATCATTTTGCCATGAAGAATGTTATTGGGACAAATGGCGAAATCTGAAAGGGGTTTGAGGACTAGACTGTAGTAATGTATCAGTGTTAATTCCCAGACTTTGACGGCTGTACGTGCTCACACACACATACTTGAAGTCTCCAGCATTGACTGACTCCCTTTTACTAAAGATTTCTCTGAAGCACATGATGCTGTTTGATAGCTTTTACGAATAACAGAACTTCTCTCAAAACTGGAGAACCCAACCTTCTTAAACCCCACCGCTGCTTTATCAACTAAGTTTATGGAATATTCTATATCCTTTGTTGTCATTTCAACAATGTTTACAGCATCTACCAGGAGTAAATTTCACCTCAAGACACTACTTTCTCTGATCATCCAGAAGAAGCAATTCCTCATTCATTCAAGTCTGATCATGAGATCGCAGCAATTCACTTACATCTTCAGGCTCCACTTTTAATTCTAGTTCCTTGTTATTTCCACCACATCTGCAGTAACTTTCCTTGACTTAAGGCTTGAGCCTCTCAAAGTCAATCATGAGGGTTGGAATCAACTTTTTCCAAACTCCTGTTAAAATGTTGATATCCATCAGAGAAATTACTCTTTATGGAAGCTACAGCCTTACAAAGTGTATTTTTTTTTAATTTTTAAATTTGATTATTTTGAGCTGGCAAAGTGTATTTCTTAAATACTAAGACTTGAAAGTTGAAATTACCCTTAGATTCATGGGCTGCAGAATGGACACTATGTTAGCAGGCATGAAAACAACATTCATCTCCTTGTACATCTCATTAGAGCTCATAAGTGACCAGGTGCACTGCCAAGGAGTAGTAATATTTTGAAAGGAATCTTTTTTCTGAGCAGTAGGTCTCAACAGTGGACTTAAAGTATTCAGTGAACCAGGTTGTAAACAGATGTGCTGTCACCCAGGCTTAGTAGTTCTATTTCTAGGGCACAGGCAGAGTAGATTTAGCATAATTCCAAAGGACCCTAGGATTTGCAGAATGGTCAAATAAGCACTGGCTTCATTTCAAAATTACCAGCTCCAAGAGTCCCTAACAAGACTGTCAGCCTGTCCTTTGAAGCTTTCAAGTCAGGCATTGGCTTCTTGCTAGCTATGAAAGTTATAGATGGCATCTTCTTCCAACAGAAAGCTGTTTTGTCTATATTGGAAGTCTCTTGTTTAGTGTAGACAGCCTCATCAACGATCTTAGCTAGGTCTAATGGATCACTTCCTGCAGCTTCTACATCAGCAATTGTGGCTGCACCTTATACTTTTATGTTATGGAGATGGCTTCTTTCATTAGATCTCATGAACCAACCTCTGCTAGCTTCAGATTTTTCTTCTGCAGCTTCCTCACCTCTCTCAGCCTTCATAGAATTGAAGAGAGTTAGGGCTTTGCTCTGAATTAGACATTGACTTAAGAGAATGTTGTGGCTAGTTTGATCTTCTATCCAGACCATTAAAACTTTCTCCATATTAGCAAGAAAGCTGTTTCCATTTCTTATCATTTGTGTGTTCCCTGGAGTAGCACTTACATGAGTCTAAAATCATGTAACATTACAAAAAAAAAAAAAAGTAGTTGTTTTTTCTTCAAGAACTTTTCGTTTGTATTCACAACTTGGCTAACTATTTGGTACAAGAGACCTAGCTATTGACTTATCTCAGCTATTGACATGCCTTCCTTACTAAGCTTAATGATTTCTAGCCTTTGATTTCAAGTGGGAGAGATGTGATTCTTCCTCTCACTTAACACTAAGAACCCACAGAAGGGTTATTAATTGGTCTAGTTTCAATATTGTTCTGTCTTAGGAAAGAGGGAGACAGTCCTAGCTAATCAGGAGGCTGGGGTAGGAGGATCGCTGAGCCCAGCAGTTGGAGACTGTGAGTTATGATCACACCACTGCACTCCAGCAGGGCAACAAAGACCCTGTCTGGAAAAAAAAATTTACCATATTAACAATTTTTAAGAGTATGGTTCAGTAGTGTTAATTCACGCTCTTGTGCAACAGATGTCTAGAATTTCATCTTGCAAAACTGAAACCTATACCCAATGAACAACTCCCCATCTCCACCAACTCCAAACCCTAGCAACCCATTCCAATTCTGTTTTTATGAATTTGAACATTTTAGATACCTCATACAAGTGGAATCATACAGTTTTTTTTTTTTTTTTGAGACAGAGTCTCACTTTGTTGTCCAGGCTAGAGTGAGTGCCGTGGCATCAGCCTAGCTCACAGCAACCTCAAACTCCTGGGCTCAAGCAATCCTACTGCCTCAGCGCTCCGAGTAGCTGGACTACAGGCATGCGCCACCATGCCCAGCTAATTATATATATAAGTTGGCCAATTAATTTCTTTCTATTTATAGTAGAGATGGGGTCTCACTCTTGCTCAGGCTGGTTTCGAACTTCTGACCTTGAGCAATCCACCGGCCTCGGCCTCCCAGAGTGCTAGGATTATAGGCGTGAACCACCGCACCTGGCCCCAGTATTTGTTTTTGTGTGTGTGTGTGCCTGGCTTATTGTTTGGGCTTTTTGGTTAGTTTTTGAGACAATCTTGCTCTGAGCTCGAGTGCCGTGGCGTCAGCCTAGCTCACAGCAACCTCAAACTCCTGGGTCCAAGTAATCCTCCAGCCTGAGCCTCCAGAGTATCTGGGACTACAGGCGCACACCAGGATGCCTGGCTAATTTTTTTCTATTTTTAGTTGACTGGCTAATTGTTTCTATTTTTTTTTTTTTTTTGAGACAGAGTCTCGCTTTGTTGCCCAGGCTAGAGTGAGTGCATGGCATCAGCCTAGCTGACAGCAACCTCAAACTCCTGGGCTCAAGCGATCCTTCTGCCTCAGCCTCCCAAGTAGCTGGGACTACAGGCATGCGCCACCATGCCCGGCTAATTTTTTCTCTACATATATTAGTTGGCCAATTAATTTCTTTTTATTTTTATAGTAGAGACAGGGTCTTGCTCTTACTCAGGCTGGTTTTGAACTCCTGATCTTGAGCAATCTGCCCACCTGGGCCTCCCAGAGTGCTAGGGTTACAGGTGTGAGCCACCGCGCCGGCCTAATTATTTCTATTTTTAGTAGAGATGGGGTCTCCCTCTTGCTTAGGCTGGTCTCGAAATCCTGACTTCAAGTGATCCTTGGTCTCCCAGAGTGCAAGGATTACAGGCCTGAGCCACCACACCTGTCCTTTATTATTTATTTATTTATTTATTTTTTTTTGAGACAGAGTCTCATTTGTTGCCCAGGCTAGGTGAGTGCTGTGGCGTCAGCCCTAGCTCACAGCAACCTCAAACTCCTGGGCTCAAGCAATCCTCCTGCCTCAGCCTCCCCAGTAGCTGGGACTACAGGCATGCGCCACCATGCCTGGCTAATTTTTTGTATATATATATTTTAGTTGTCCAATTAATTTCTTTCTATATTTAGTAGAGACGGGGTCTTGCTCAGGCTGGTTTCAAACTCCTGACCTCGAGCAATCTGCCTGCCTTGGCCTCTCAGAGTGCTAGGATTATAGGCATGAGCCACCGCGCCCAGCCTATTTTTTATTTTTTTTAAGAGAAATGTTCTCACTCTGTTGTCCAGACTTGAGTACAGTGACGTGATCATAGCGCATTGTAATCTTGTACTTCTGGGCTCAAGTGATCCTCCTGCCTCAGTCTCCTGAGTAGCTAGTATTACTGGCACATGCCACCATGCCTGGCTAATTTTTTTTTTGAGACAGAATCTCACTTTGTTGCCTGGGCTAGAGTACTGTGGTGTCAGCCTAGCTCACAGCAACCTCAAACTCATAGGCTCAAGCAATCCTCTTGCCTCAGCCTCCTGCGTAGCTGGGACTACAGGCATCAGACATCGTGCCCAGCTAATTTTTTCTATTTTTAGTTGTTTGGCTAATTTCTTTCTATTTATAGTAGAGATGGGGTCTTGCTCTTGCTCAGGCTGGTCTCGAACTCCTGAGCTCAAGCAATCCTTCCACCACAGCCTCCCAAAGTACTAGGATTACAGGCGTGAGCCACCACGTCTGGCCTTAAATTTTAAAATATTAAGGAGCTACAAATGTTACATGGTTGAATTAAATAATGCTTAAGTTAGGGCTTTTTATAAGTATCTTCTTTGTGGTTACAACGGGAAGTCCATAAAATATCTCAAAGTTAACACAATCTATTTTTTAAATTAATTTAATTTATTTTTTGAGACAGAGTCTCACTTCTGTTACCCGGGCTAGAGCACCATGGTGTCAGCTTAGCTCACAGCAACCTCAAACTCCTGGGCTCAAGCAATCCTTCTGCCTCAGCCTCCCGAGTAGCTGGGACTACAGGCATATGCCACCATGCCCGTCTAATTTATATAATATATATATATATATATATATATATATATATTTAGTTAGCCAATTAATTTCTTTCTATTTATAGTGGAGACAGGGTCTCGCTCTTGCTCAGGCTGGTCTCGAACTCCTCACCTTGAGCGATCCACCTGCCTCGGCCTCCCAGAGTTCTAGGATTATAGGAGCCCAGCCAACACAATCTATTTTAAACTGATAACGACTTAACTTTAATCACATAGAAAAATTCTACTTCTTTACATATTCAAGCCCTCATTTTGTACTGATGTTACAAATTATATATTTTATATTGTATATTCATTGACATAGACCTATAGTTATTTTTTATGCTTTTGTCTATTAAACTCTATAGTAGGATTAAAAGTGGCTTACACATCAACATTACAATACTACAGAAGTCTATATTTGTCTATATATTTACCTTTACCAGGGAGCAAGATATTTTTGTGTTGCTGTCTAGTGTCCTTTCATTTTAAATGGAAAGACTTTTCTTAGCATTTCCTGTAGGGCAGGTCTAGTGGTGATTAACTCCTTAGGCTTTTGTCTGGGAAAGTCTTACTTTCTCCTTCATTTTTCAAGGACCACTTTGTTGCATGTAACATTTTTGACTGCCATTTTTTTCTCTGAGCACTTTGAATATATCATTCCAATTCCTGCTGGTCTGCCTGGTTTCTGCTGAGAAATCCACTGATAAAACTTTTTGTTTAAAGAAATCTCTTTTATGTTTGTGTTAATTGTCCGATAACTCTTTATAGGGAGGTCTTTATGTAAATGGTCTTTTTTTGCTGTCTCTTCAATTTCCCTGTCTTTGTGACTTTGATGTTGGAGTTATAAGAGGTCTTAGTGTGGGTCTCTTTAGGCTTACCCTAGTTGGAATTTTTTAAGCTTCTTGAATTTGCATGTCCATTTCCTTCCTCAAATTTGGCGGTTTTTGCCACCTTACTTCTTCAAAAGGCTCTTTCGCCCTTTCTCTCTCTCCTTTGGACTCCAAATTGGCATCTTTGATGTCTCTTTGGATTGGGGTGTCCATAAGTACAGGGCCTCGCTCTCTCATTCCCTTAGTTCGTGACTCAAGTGGTTTTTGTGTTGTGTTTTTGTGTTGTTTTGTTTGAGAGCGGGTCTCGCTTTGTTGCCAGGTTAGAGTGGAGTGCCCGTTGGCGGTCAGAGCCTAGCTCCAGCAAAGCCTCATCTGGGGTTCAGGCGTCTTGACTGCGCTCATCATCCGAGTAGGCGCGGTTTATGAGGCGTGCGCCAGGGGCCGAACCTGCTGACCTTTTCTTCTGCTTTGATAGGGTGTTCCTGCTGGATCCTCTATGAATTTTTCCATTCCTGTATTTTGTATTTTTTTGGTTCATTTTTTTTTATTTATTTTTCTTATTCTAAACTTTATTTTATTTCGCATTGTATGGGGGTCACAAAATGTTTAGGTTGTAGGTTTGCCTTTGCTTTGCCTCCCCACCCGTGACAGTCCAGAGCTGTTCAAGCGTGTCAGTCGCCGGCATGGTGCCATGCAGCATTAGTGTTACGTTACTCCCTATGCGCCTCCTCCCCCGACCTCGTATCTGATGCCCGTAATGTTATTTCTTTTGCCCTGTAAGGTGGTTGCTCAGTGGAACAATCTTACTGTGCGTTCACTGTGGTGCTTATTTTTGAATTTCTGGGTCTTCACTTGTGAATGGGGTTCCAAGGTTACTCCAGGAAACAATAGCAGCGAGGGTGCTTTTTTACCATTGTTTCTCTTATCGACCTTGATAGTATCCATGGGTAGTACATATACCAACATTTATTATCCACTCTGGTATTGATGGGGCCTTGGTTGTCTTCCCCAGTCTTGCATTTGTGATTGTGGTGCGTAACATCTCGAGTGCCGGATGTCTGTGTTTCTAGAATGTCTTTGTTATTTTGGGTATGGGGATGGCCCTCCCTTAACTAGGATGTCTGCAAATGTAGATCTAATGTGATATTCTCTTTTAATTACGTCTTATATTGTGCTTTTAGCGGAAGTGTGACTAGTTTGGCAGCGCGAGTCCCTTGTGTTGGTTTCATCTTTAATCAGGGTTCATGGCTCTGTTGATACTCTCATTTTGTTCACACATCATTTTCCTGATTTTGCTTAGTTGTCTGTGTTCTTTTTTTCTTTCTTTCTTTTTTTTTTTTTTTTAAGCTGATTGAGCATCTTTTAGACAGTTATTTTGAATTCTTTGTCAGGTAATGTATAGATTTCTACTTCTTTTGGTAGGGCTCATTTCTGGAGATTTTGTTCCTTTCATTGAGCCATGTTCCCATGTTTCTTTGTATGCCTTGCGATCATTTGTGGTGATTTGGACAGTTGGAAAAACAGCTCTTTCTCCTAGGCTTGATGGCCTGGATTAACAAGAGGAAGACCATCACCAATAAGCAGAATCTGGAGGTCTTTCAAACCTTTTCTAGGGATGAGTCTTTTCTGAACTTGTGCGTGTAATTTCCCAGTTAAAGAGATTTGCCCCCCGTTTCTCAAGGGCCTATAATCTCTTGCTTCTGCTCATCTCTGTCTGAAGTTTTGCATTCTCTCTGGTGCTATAACAAACCGCTACACTCACCTTTTTTCAGAGGCCCCAACTTGGCACCCAAAGTATATCATTATTCTGTTCAGTACCTTGAGTCAGGCAAGACAGAGACCAGTCCTTCAGACAGCTCCCTGAAAAACCAGAATGTTGGATGCATGTTCCACTTTTCTCTTTTCCACATGAAGAAGTCAGAAGTTGGAAGTTTTCTCCCAGTCACTCCACACTGTGCTGGGGGGAGGAAGAGGCTATGGCAGGCTACTGCAATAAACCTTCTTACCCACTTTGATGTGGCTTTTCTTGGCTTTGTGCTCACCTGGGGTGCTGCAAGCTCTTAATTGGTTTCTGGAGTTCTCATAAAGGCCATTTGGTCCATATATTGTTGCTAAATTGGTGTCTCCTTGGGGGAAAAAAAGGGCACGGGCCTTCTTATTCTGCCATCATACTGACCTTGCTCTCAAATTACCTACAACTTTCGCTGTCCAAAATGATATAACATTTAGGTACACCAAATTGAACAAGATTATTACTTTCTGAGCTACACGTAAATACTACAGTTACTTTTTAAATTCACTTTCTTTGGAAGTTAATACTACTAGATGTGAACATTTGGCAATCCAAGCTCCTCAAGGAGAAAGGCTACCTTTTTGTATATGAGTACCAAGCATAATATGACTTATTGCTACTTTGTTGACCTTGACCTTATGGCTGAAGTAGTGTTTGTCTGGCTCCTTCAGTGTAAAGTTACTCTCCTCCCAACCCTTTCAATATTGTACTTTTTGGAATAAATTCAATGTATCTAGGGAATTATCTTTTTGAAGAAACTTAGCCTGTTATCTTGTTGAGTGTTCCACCCTCTAGTTTGCTTAATATTTTTATGATGTCATTTAACTTGTTCCTCTATCCCTATATTTCCTATGAACTGAAAGTTCTGTTTAAATCAATTACATTAAGGTAAACATTTTGCAAGAATACTTCATGGGTACTTGTGATGTCAGCCTGACTCATATTAACAATCATGCAGTTAGAATGTTGATACCAGAGCTCTTCATCATAAAAGTACAATTTCTTCCCTTTGAAATTAGCAAGAAATATATGGGGCACACTTCAGCATCTTGTACTTTCTCCATGGACATCTGTGCCATGAGAAATAATATAAAAGGCTATGGAACCAAAGTGAAAGTTCCTCAATCCCTTCATTCACTTCTGAATTCATTTATCCATCCGGTCATTAAAGAAACATTACTGAAGGCCCACTAAGTTCCAAGCAGTGTGTAGCTGCTGGGGCAACAGAAGTGAAAGATGGACGATGACCTCCAGGAGCAAAGCCTGGTGTTTTTTTTGTTTTGTTTTTGAGATAGAGTCTCAACTCTGTTGCCCGGGCTAGAGTGCCATGATGTCAGCCTTGCTCACAGCAACCTCAAACTCCTGGGCTCAAGCAATCCTGCCTCAGCCTCCCGAGTAGCTGGGAATACAGGCATGCATCACCATGCCTGGCTAAATTTTTTTATATATTTTTAGTTGGCCAATTAATTTTTTTCTATTTTTAGTAGAGATGGAGTCTCGCTCTTGCTCAGGCTGGTTTCAAACTCCTGACCTTGAGTGATCCACCTGCCTTGGCTTCCCAGAGTGCTAGGATTACAGGCGTGAGCCATTGTGTCTGGCCTGTTAGTTTTGTGCCCTGACACAAATTATTACACTTCTTTGAGCCATGATGTTCTATAAGTAAACTAGAGAAAATACCTACCTCTAAGGGTTTATAGAAGAAGTAATCAAAATAACATATGAAGTAATTAGGATAGTTTCCAAGTTCCTGGAATATACTAAATAGTTTATAAATGGTTGTTCTACTTGATAAACAACAAAAACTACAAAGTATGTATATGTATATAAGACAATCAATTTCTCTGATTTAGATATTTTTCCACTAGCAATATAGGTATAACATGGCTAAAACCAAAATAATGTAATTACACAAGCATAGATGGAAAGTAAAATTTTTATCTTTTCATTAGAGTAAAAGAAGCTCACAAGCCTAGACTAAAAGTTTGCAAATCCCCCACTCATACCTCTGCCCTCCACATACCTCCCTATGTGCGCCTAGAGTGTGGGGGTGGGGGGGATTTGGGGCCCACAGTGCCAGCACAGCCAGGGCACTGTATCTGAAATGCAGTTAAGTTTTAAAGGTGTAAAGATGGAACCACAGAAATCCTGTAGGCAGAACCTCTTAGTGAGAGGTCTGTGCTCCAGACAGATAAAGTGCACTTCACCTTTCTGCTCAGCCAGCTCCCAGAGTTCCCGAGCTGCTGCCGAAGACAGTGTCATGGGGTATTCCACGAGGACATGCTTGCCAGCATTAAGGAACTGCCTTTGGTAACAGAGATAAACACAGGGAAAGAACATTTCAATTAAGCTTCACTAGAACGCCCTGCATGACACAGAACAGGACGTTATGAACGCACCAGTGTCTGTGCGTGAAGTCACACGTGGGGGGAAGAGGCAGGGCCAAAAGACATGGAGGAAGAATCGTGCTGCACATTATTTTCTTTTTCTTTTTTTTCCTTTAGAATTGTTTTATTAAATCATAAATGTACAACAGCTTCTTAACTCTACACATGCACTTAAATTTTTTTTTTTTTTTGAGACAGAGTCTAGCTTTGTTGCCCAGGCTAGAGTGAGTGCCGTGGCGTCAGCCTAGCTCACAGCAACCTCAAACTCCTGGGCTCAAGCAATCCTTCTGCCTCAGCCTCCCGAGTAGCTGAGAATACAGGCACGCACCACCATGCCCGGCTAATTTTTTCTATATATTTTTAGTTGGCCAATTAATTTTCTTCTATTTTTAGTAGAGATGGAGTCTCGCTCTTGCTCAAGCTGGTTTCAAACTCCTGACCTTGAGTGATCCACTTGCCTCGGCCTCCCAGAGTGCTAGGATTACAGGCGTGAGCTACCGCACCCGGCCACACTTAAATTTTTTAAAGGAAAAACGTTATGTTTTATTCCTCCATGATCCTGGCTAATAGCTTTTCAAAACTTTGAGAAAAATCATAAAAAAGGTTTCACATGTCACCTGAAACTTACAAATTTAACATTATCAAAGAAGGAATGCTTCTACACTCTTACAAAGACCACTAGAAAGAAACAACAATTACAAAACTAAGAAACTCTCTCAAAGGCATTTTTTTTTTTACAATCCGTCCTCCACAGTAAGGTAATGTTATTAAATAATCCAATCCATTCACAAAATGGCTCTCTGCATCTGCTCTGGTGTCTTCTCCATATCACTGCATATTTATGCATGACTGAGGTAAGAGTTTCCTTAAGATTGTTATTTCGATAACCTGAAGCTACCTGGGCTCTCACTCTCTCCTCTTTATACAGTGAAGCCCACGGCAAATTGGAAGAAGCTCAAGAAGTGAATTTCTTGCCATGCACATTATTTTCTATTGTCCTGTGACAAAATGCCTTTCTAGTTAAGTATTAATGTGATGTCATTCATTCATTTTTTCAAGTAAGTACTACTTACTAGTTACTTTGGAGGAGAAATAAAGGCACATGAACAAATAAATTACCTGTTACCACATGACAGCTATAAACAGACTACAAAACCCCTGGCAGCTAGCTCTGCTTGAAGCAGCCTGAGAAGATGTCACTAAGGACACACGAATTGGGTCTTGGAGCACAAGCAGGTGTTTTCCAGCTGCACTGTGATGATGTATTCCACTTTGAGCAGCATGTGCAGGGGCTCGGGCATGTTGTGGGGCTCTGTCCATGTGCACATCTCCGCATGCATACAGCCCCGTGAGGAGTTGAGGGAGACAAAGTAGTAAAAGTAGCCAGGGCCTGGCTGTGAAGGACCTGTGACGCTGTGCTCAGGACTTTGGATTTTATCCTCCAGAGAGCAGAGTACAAACATTTATAACCCCGGGAGTTACACGATCACTTATTTAAGGAAATACATTCTGGTGCCAGAGAAGGTTAAAGGGACCCAAGGAAAGGCATGTTTATCCACTCTAGGGCTAGACTGATAGAGAGGAGCCCCTACCCCTGGCGGACAGCCTTGCCATAGCAGCTGTAGTTTAGCTCAAGAACCTAGAAGCTGAGATGCAGGGAGGCAGCTGGCAGTTCCCTGCCAGTTGCCAGGTCCCGCGTGGGGCTCCTCCTGCTGGGTTCAGTCCTATCAAACACTTCAAGAGCTCTAGGCTTTGCATTCACAAGGTGGGGAAGGGGGGCACTTCTCTTCCTGCTCTACAAAATGTGTCATTTCCCTCCTCAGTGCTGCCGCTATTTCCTAACTTACTTTTCTCACAGCAAAAACTATAACCAACAATAAGGGATTTTGTTTTTTTTAAACATTTTTGATGCTTCTGAGATTGGTCTAAGAACAGCTATAATTTTCCCCAGATAAGACCCCTTCCTTGCAGGGTTTCAGCTCGCTCAGTCACCCTACAGCCCTGCACTGCTGTGCGAGGCAAGGACTGCCTGGAAAACCCACCTGATGTAGTCCTCATGGCTGGAGCTTTCCGTGCAGATATAGGCGACCTCAACCTCTTGGCTGGAAAGAGCATCTTCCAAAGAAATCTGCTGGACTCCGTCAATGCTCCCGAGCTCTCGTCTATTTCAGAAAAACAGAGAAATGGAACTCAAAAGTAGGCAGAATACTGGCTTAGAATAAATGAGCACCATCCTTCTCTCCTCCTCTCAATAATGTCCTGGTGATCAGCTTTTGGAAATGAAAAAATTAATTTCCTACCTCCCACTTCCAGACTATTTTCCATTGTAGAGTGAGGAAAATAGCCTCCGGGTTGAAGCCAGGGAGCCTGGCCCTGAGCTGCAGCAATCAGAAAGTGCTTGGGAAAGTTTGGCTCCCCAAGGATAATATGCTAGGATTATTCCTACGGCGCCACGCAACCTACTGCTCAATTTGACCAATACTGACTGTCTGCCTACTGTGCTGGGCACTAGGAATCATGGAGCATGAATTAAAATCCTCACCTTCCAATGAGCTCTGTCTGAAAGAGGGAGGAAGACACACACACACACACACACACACAACACCAACACAAGACTAACAACGTGAGGAATGTGCTGGGAAGTAGGGGGTGGAGACCCAGGGAAGGCAAGGAACACATCTAATTTGGGGCTTCAGAAAAGGCTTCCTGGGGTGGCAGAGCTTAGCACAGGTCATGGGTATATGAGGCGCAACTGTGAGTAATGATGGCAGGGGTGTGACGTGGCCATCTTCCCACGTGACCTGGGTAATGTAGGTGTTTCCACTGTCCCGATCTTGGCAGCCAACTGGCAGAGGACTGAGGCTTAAGGAAAAAGGAGAGGTCCTCCCACTTCAGCCTTGAGTGCAGCTGTGGTGCTTGACCCCAGCTGCATGCAGGGCTGCAGTGGGGTTACAGTGCTGGCGAACATTAATCTTGATCTCCCATTTGTGTGCAGCTCCCTTAGGGGAGCTGAAGGAATCTTACGGGAGGAGAAGATTAGCTAAGGGCAGGTTCCAGCCCTTCTGGGTCTCCCCAGTGCCCAAGCCCCACTTTGAATCCTTAAAGGAGTGGCCGGGTTTTGAGGCAGGCAGGAATAAGGTGGTCCCACGAATTAAAATACGAAAAAACTTCTGCACGGACCATCACAATAGTTATGCACTGTGTAAGTATTTATCTGAGGTCTTAAAAGCGCTAGAAAATAGAGACTTGTCCAACTTGCTCAAGGCCAGGTCTCCGGATTCTGCCCAGTGCCCGCACCTTGTTCATAATTAATGCTGATAAGTGACATCACACAAGGTTCCTGTGGTGAGTGGGGTGTGTGTGTGCATTATGCATGTGTGTGGGGTTGAGGGGAAGAGTTGGGTGTGGGGTGGGGAACAAGGTGATAAACTTGGTTTTGACTGGAAAGAAATGAATCCTTAAAGATTCATTTAGGCTTCAGAATCAAACAGACTTATAACCAAATCCAGTTCTCAGACTTTCCAGCTGTGGGACCTTAGGCAAATCACTTGACCTCTCTGTGTCTCGGCTTTCTGATCTGCACACTGGGCCGATGATGATGCCTAGAATGATGTAGTATACGTAAAGCACAAGGCCACCTCGTGGACGGCTGTTATGATGACTAATGTGAGGATTACCTGGCGTACACCTACAGCCTTCTTCCAGGCCAAAGTCCCCAAGTGCTCACTGTGCCCCTTCTGTAACTGTCAGACCTGTGTTCACTCTCCCAGCCTTTGTCTTTGCAGTCACCCGAGGCTGACCTGCTGCATATCCCAAGGGCAGGCCCAGCACACTCCAGTCCCCAGACCCATCCAGTCCTGAGCTCTTGTGGGGCTGACCCTAAGCACAGCTCTCGGGCAGAGAGCTGCCTCTCCCTCCCCTAGGGCTGGAAGATCTCCACGTCCTGGAGCCTAACCCGTCTTACTGGGCTTCCCATGAACCACGAGGCACAAAGCAAGTGCAAGCTACCTGGACACGAAGCCAATCAGGTTCAGGAACGCTGAGGAAGGGTGTGGGTTCTGCAAGTCCCTCATCCGCACGGAGCCAGCTCTGCCAACACCAACCACCACCACGCCAAACTTCCTCTTAGGCTGAAACACAAGAGACCAAGACGGGGTTTGAAAACATTCCAGGCATCTAGTGGAGAAGAGCAAAATAAAGGACAATGCAGGGCCCTGACAAGCAAGGAAAGAAGCCGGCCCAGAACACGCAAGAAGCCGCAGCACTGAGGGTGGGCTAAGACGTTCCCTGAAACCACGGCTCCAAACGAGGGCTCGGAGAGAAGTCAGCTCCATCAAAAGATAGTCCTGAAAGTGCTTCACCGTGTCTTTGTGTTGAAAACCTGAGCACCTATGGAAAAGGTTCCCCCACTGGCTCTCCACTTCTCCCACCACCTCCCCAACGATGAGGAGTCTTCTGTAAGCCACACCCAGCCCAGGGTCTGGTACCTCAGGACGTGCGAATCTGACACTGCTGGGAGTCATTCGCAAGCACGGCTGCCTGGCGAGATGCCAGCACACAAGGGCAAATGGGCAAACCGTGATCGGTCACCTTGCTCAGCTTGGGACCCACACGGTTTAACTCCTCACTGTGGCCTTCTGAGTTCCAACCAGCTTCACTCCCATTCCACTGCGGTGGCTTAAATGTTAGTTCAGCGCACTGCTGGAGGCTGCCCGTGAACAGTATTACAGTGAAAACCAAGTTGACTTTCAGAAGTTATACAGCAACTCAACAGAATCAAAACTGATAGAAATGATCTCTATACATCCCTCAAACCCAGTTCTTCTTGGATGTCTCTGAGCACAGTCACTTCCCCCAATTCTGCCCCTCTCCGTGTCCACTGACGTCTTCCAATGTTTGGGATTTTCCAGATGCTTTTCTATTACTGATGTTTCATTTAATTCCACTGTGGTCAGAGAGCATTCTTTAAATGATCTGAATCCGTGTAAATTTACTGAGACGTGTTTTATGATCCAGAACATGGTCTACCTTGGTAAACGTTCTGGGCACACTTGGAAAAAGCGTGTGTCCTACCGTTGGGGGGAGTGTTCCACAGGTCTGTTAGGGCAAGTCAGTTGATAGCGTTGTTCAGGCCCTCTGCATCCTCACGGACTTTCTGTCTACTTCTTCTAGTAATTATCGAGGGGCAATAAAATCTCTTGAATGTAATTGTAGATTTGTGTACTTCTCCCTGCAGTTGTATCAGTTTTGACCCATGTATTTGAAACTCTGTTATTGGGTACATGCATGTTTAGGACAGTTATGTCTTCTTGATTAATTGACCCCATATCATTCTAAAATGACCATTTTTATTCCTGATAGTAGTCTTCACCCTGTAATTTATTTTGTCTGACATTAACAACCCATTCCCAATTTCCACTGATCAGAGTTAGCATAGTACATTTTCCCATTCTTTTTAAGGCTTTTATATTTATATATATATGTTTTTTACTTATCACAGTCTACCCTAAAGTAATATTGCACCATTTCGCATACAAGAGCCTGACAACAATATGCTTCCATGTCCTCTCTCCCCGACCTTGTACTGTTGTTGCACAATTGACTTCGACATTTGTTCTAAACCCCAAAGGTACCAGTCAGGGTTCAGTCTGGAAAAGAGAAACCATTCTATGTATTCTAAGTATGAAGAGTTTCAGTACAGGGAACTAGAGGCTTATGTAACCACTGGGGAGCTAAAGCCAGAGAAGCCATCACTGGCCATCTCCCTGCAGGCCTGAAGCGAGACTCTCCAGAGCCTGCCTGGCAGCCGGTGTCTGAAAGTGTCTGCAGCCTCTCAGCCTGCGGCCGGGTACAGTGACTCACGGAGCTTGACTGCTGCTGCTGTAACCCACACGCTGGCCTCGGCCCACACATCTGGCGGAACCGTCCCCTGTGAGTAACAGTCTTTCTTCAGCCTTCCATGTCTCCCAGGAGTGCTTCCACCTGGCAGACGTCACATATAAAAGGGGTCTCTGGGAAACGTAGTTCCAGGCTTCTCTTCTGGGAGGCAGGAAAGAGCACAGGCAGGAGTGGCCGTGATGCCCAGCTGACCACAGGCAACGTCACCCAGTCGGTCCCTTTCGGGGTACAAGTCTAGTTTTTTTAGTTTTTTGACAGTGTCATTACCAAAAAGCAGTAAGATTAGCCTCTGGAGAAATCTGTATAGCCAAAACACATATCTTTGATCAAATATTTGGTTCCCTTTTAACCAAGAAAAGGAGACCAGCAATTCCCTTGTTAGGTTAACTATGCATTCCTGAGACTAACTACTGAATTACTACATTCCAGATAACAACCAGGGTTAGCTTTTACTAGCTTCAAAAAAACTTCAAGGTAAAGAAACAGCTCCATTATCTATAAATAAGCCCAAATGCTTTTTCATTTCATTGGTTAATGATATACACAAATCTGTATACAAAATCAGGCTTGCATAGTGCATAGTATGTCGGATTGAATTATGAACTGCTTTAGGGTTTGGTTTAGATATTGTTCCCTTGCAAAACAGACACACAGGGACAAGACATGGGAGAAAACACTGGTATCTTAACAGTTGAGTTCCTTTTAGGGAAAGATCTTTATTTTGGAGAAAAATTACTTGTTAGACCTTTCTTTGTGAGCCTCTTCAAGGTATGTTCTGAAAAGTATGTATGCAAATCAGAGATGGCTGGACTGCTCTGCAGTGGCAGCTAAAATTTTAGGGGTAGGAACCAGCAAGAGGCAGAGAAAGGGGAAGACAGCAGGAGGGAAAGTGCGTGCACATTACAAGGAGGCTGAAGTCTGCAAAGAGAGAAGCCTGCAAGCAATGTCCAGAGGAAGAGGGGGCAAGGGACTTCTAGAAAACAGGATGTCTAAAATTCATCTTTAGACCGGCATGGTGGCTCACGCCTGTAATCCTAGCACTCTGGAAGGCTGAGGTAGGATGACTGCTTGAGGTCAGGAGTTCAAGACCAGCCTGAGCAAGAGCAAGACCCTGTCTCTACTAAAAACAGAAAAAATTAGCCAGACTGGTGGAACACATCTACAGTCCCAGGTACTCGGGAGGCTGAGGCAGGAGGATTGCTTGAGCCCAGGAGCCGGAGGTTGCTGTGAGCTAGGCTGATGCAAATACACTGTAGCCTGGGTGACAGAGCCAGACTCTGTCTTAAGAAAAATAAAATTCCATCTTCAGCTTTCTGCTGTGCTTTGCTATCTTGAACCTTTCGTAAAACGTCACCATATACAGCTAGGTAGAGGTGGTATCTAAGGAACAATGGGCTAGGAGCAGTTCTGAGACAGCAGAAAAGGAACACACATAAGGCAGAGCCAAGTGACTCACAAGCTCATCCAGGACCGATCACAGCCACACAGTGAGCCTGCTGGCCCACCCCTGGACTCAGAGAAGCTGGTGTGGGCAGCTGAAACTCCTGAAAATGGAGTTTGCAGAAACTTAGGATTAAGGGACCACGCTCTGCCAACTTAGAAAAGTAAGTTTTTTGAGGTGAAGAGGGCAGAAGAAAATGTCAAATCACAGTAGAGGAACTTCAAGGTGTGAGGTGTGAGGGCAAGTGCGGACCACACTCAAGGAGGGTGGGAGAGCGCACACCCTCAGGAAGAACAAGCCGTACTGTTCATCACTGTTTGCGAGGATCAAAAAATTGGCGTGCGGAATAGCCATATTCATATGTTGCAGGAGGGAGACAAAAACCTAATTTATGGAGAGCAACTTGGAAATATTTATCACAACTTAAAATGCAAAAACACCCTGTGCCCTGGTACATCCATCTGTCAGACTGCAGCCTATAGAGCTACCCAAGTGAGGTGACTTAGGCTTATTGCAGCCTCACTTGTAACAAGCAAGACATCGAAACAATCTATTTGTCATTAATAACAGGCTGGAATGTTAGTTGTGACAGACCCATGAAATGGAGTATTACAAAGCTATAAAAAAGAACAAGGGAGTCCCTTAGTTATTGAAAGGGATCGCTCTCCAAGATATACTGTTGGTGAGAAAAGCAAGGTGCAGAATCAGTGTGAGTTGTGTTACAGTTTATGTTAAAAAAAAAAAGGAGGGGGGTAGCTGATGGAAAAAGTATTTGTTGTATGTGTTTAGAATCTCGGAAAGGATAGCCCAGAAACCAGTGATGTGCTTTTGCTAGGAGCATGAGAACCAGAGGGTAGGAGGGAAGAAGACTTCTCACAGTAAATTTTGTTTTCTTTTTCTCTTCCTTTAAAATTTTGAATCATGTGAATGTACTAGTTATCCAAAATATAAACCACCACTGAAAAACAGATGTAAATATCGGAGGGGTCAACTGAAGCAATTAAAAGAACAAAATCTGAAAAAACAAAATATATTGGAGGGATGCCCAGAGAAGCTGGGAACTCCACAGCGCATCACGCCTGTGGCTCACTCTGGTCTCCCTTCCCGGTGCTCCTTCTACAGTGCTCCGCGTCCTCTGCTGCCCTAGACTGGGCCTGTCCACTGACGCCTCACACCTCCGCACCTCAGTCATGGTCCCCTCGGAGCCCCTGGCCCCACTGGGATCGGTTTCAATCTCATGCCTCCCTGCTTCACCACAGTCGCCCAAGACCTTCTCACTGCCATGTTCTCCCGGACGTCAGACATACGTGATGCTGAACTGGACCTTCTTTAAGTTCATGCCTTTCTTCACTCGCCTCATGCTGAGGTTCTCTTCTCACACTTTGCCCATTTTCTTCTTCATCCTGCCCCCTAGATGTGCAGATTCCTAAAGTTCATCTCTCTGTTCTTCTCTCCCCCATAGCCCAGGTGGGGGCCCTCCCTCTCCAGGGTCCCGTGACCACCTCTATGCCAAAGACTCCGAATCCTGAGCTGTGGGCCACCCTTTCCTCCAAGCTGCGGTCCCAAGAAGAAGTGCAGACTGGGTGCTTCTGTCTGGCTGTCTCACCCCTGGGTTGTCGTGTTCAGTGCTAACTCCAATCATCCACCTCATTGACCGGCTGACCTCTGAACTTCTAGACAAAGGCTGGTGGCTCCAGGAATCCTGGGAATCATTCCTGCATTCAGCAACCACCCTCTGAGATCAAGCACTGATTTGTGGCTGATGGTCTTTCTATACCTTCCCCTCCAGCCAGGCCCCATGTCACAGCCAGGTTGTCCTTGAAAATTTCTGTCATATGACTTCCTTCCTCTACATTTCCACTGACCCACCCAGCTCGGAGTTGCATTACAAGATTATGCAACAGTCTCTGAATTGTCCTGTCATTTAGTCAGCTGACATTTCGTGAGGACAGACTGTGTATGAGGCATCATGATGCCACATGCCGGGAGGTACTAAGAGGAACGAGGCACGCAGACAGCTACATTCTAAGTCAGAGGATGGAAAGTAGCAGAAGAGATAAAGAGCAAAGGAAATCTGCAGGTGGGAGGTGTCACTTCCAGAGAAAGAAGACTCAGAAAACTTCAGGCCAGGTGTAGTGGCTCACGCCTGTAATCTTAGCACTCTGGGAGGCTGAGGCGGGTGGATTGCTAGAGGTCCGGAGTTCGAAACCAGCCTGAGCAAGAGCGAGACCCCGTCTCTACTATAAGTAGAAAGAAATTAATTGGCCAACTAATATATATAGAAAAAATTAGCCGGGCATGGTGGCGCGTGCCTGTAGTCCCAGCTACTCGGGAGGCTGAGGCAAGAGGATTGCTTGAGCCCAGGAGTTTGAGGTTGCTGTGAGCTAGGCTGATGCCACAGCACTCACTCTAGCCTGGGCAACAAAGTGAGACTCTGTCTCAAAAAAAAAAAAAAAAAGAGAGAAAACTTCATGGAAATGACAATTGAACTGGATAGATAGGATTAGCTGGACACAGATAAGAACAAAGGCATTCTTGGGGTCAGAAACACCACGGCTTAAATAAATCCCCATCATGTCCCTTAATACCCTGTGATTTACAGCAATTTACTTAACACTCATTTTCCTCATCAACAAAACAGGTAACAGCAGCTTTTTGTTAGGATTAAACGGATGCACATCCTGGGGTACTGTGTAGCAGAGTAACTACATGTTATATTTTGAAAATGTAGAAAAACTAAGAAAGAAAATGAGATATAAACCATAGCAAAATACAATGCCATAAATTAAAATCTAGCACACAGTGCTTGCCAGGGCTCAGGTGGTGACTAGAAAGCAGCAACAGAGGGGAATGTTTGGGGCGAGGTTCTGTATCCTGATATCCCGACTGTGGCGAGGGTGGCACAAGTCTGGTGTGTTTGCGTGTGTTTTAACTGACACACCTGTACACCAAAAGGAAAAAAAACACACATTTTAATGGACATACACAAATAAAAAAGGAAAGCATTCAATACATTACAACAGCTGTCTTTGGCAGGATAAGAATGGGTATGGAGAAAAAAGTAAAAAAGCAAACAAATACAAGAGGGGCCTTGCTCAGACCAACAGAGACAACGTGTCCTGAACTGGGGATGAGGACCACCCTCTGCACCTGAGGTCTCCGTCCCCTGCCCCACAGGAGGGCAAGCAGAGGACAGTAACTAAAGGAGTGTCCCAGGAAGTGAGGAAGTGCTGAGGGGGCAGAAAGAAAGGTAAGAAAGAGACAGATCTGAAAGATAAAGACATTCCGGTCTTACTCATCACTAAGCCCGGTGAGTACGAGTACCATACTGATATATTTTCTAATTGTTACAGCCATCAAGCCAAATCTGGCACAGCGTGGAGTCACATCAATTTTGGCAACTGACTAAATCAAGGCAATGACAGGAATTCTGGCATTTGGTAACTGGGCCCCGGACCACGGGGTGATGGACGGCCGTGCTACCCTTGCAGGGGGCCACAGGAAGCAGACTCGGGGCAGGTGAAAGTAGCACGTCCAGCTTGGGCTCTCACGAGCCTGGGGTCCCTGCGGAACTTCTAAGTGAAGGTGAGTGACAGGCTGCTGTCTCTGTGGATGTGGGGCTGAGGGGAGTGAGGGGTCTGAACAGATCCTCTGCAATTTCCTTAAACATGCACTGATCAGAGATGAGCACCCCCAGGGCAGCGGGAGGGCAAGAACTGCCTCGGGGAACACAGAGTCTTAAGGAGTAGGGAGAAGAGGAGCCTAAGAAAGAGCCTGAGAAGGAGTGACCTGAGAAACAGGCAGAAACCCTGGGACCTCAACGGGGACCTTCAAGAGCAGTGTGGTCAATACTGTCAAATGCCTCAAGGAAAAGGTTTCCACCAGACCGGGTCGGGTGGCGCTCATGGGAACCTTCCCGAGCAGGGCAGCAGTGAGAACAAGGGTGGATGCAGTGGGACTGGGGAGGGAGAAGGTGGTCACAGACGCCGAATGACAGATGTCTACAGAACAGAGAGGAAGACCCAAGTCAAGGAATGTTTTTAAAAGGTTAAGAGGAAAAAGCCATCAAAAAAGAAAGGTTGAAATTAGAGGATGGAAGAGATAATTGACGACTGACGGGACTGTTATCAGGCCAGGTCTATAAGCTTAACACTGAAGCAAGCTGGGTGCGGGGGTGTGCCCCTACAGTCCCGGCCGCTCAAGGTGGGGGTGGGAGCATCGCTTGGGCCCAGGACGTGGAGGCAGTCTGGGCAACACAGCAAAACCCATTTCTAAAACAAAAAAAACAAAAAAATTTTAATTACTGCAAAATTTCTTTTGTTTAAAACTTAAAATACCCTAAAAATTCCAGCAAGCCACAGGAGCCTGTAGTCCCAGGCACACTGGAGGCTGAGGCAGGAGGATCGCTTGAGCCCAGGAGTTTGGGGCTACAGTGAGCTATGATGACAGCACTGCACTCTAGCCTGGGGAACAGAATGAGACCCTGACAAGACTAATTCCAGTATAATGAGGTATAGCACATAGTATAGAAAATAGTATATAATATTAATATATAGTATAGACTATAGTCCTATACTATACTATATAGTATATATATTCTATACTACCATGTGTATATATATATAAAATATATGTACACACACTACAGTATATAGTGTGTGTGTAGTATATACCACAATAGCATATATAGGATATACACAGTATAGTATGGCATAGCTATAGTATATATGTATATACTATATACCCATAGATAGTATAGCAGAGAAGCCAGACTGCAACAGGTTGAGAACGACAAAGAGAAAATGGAGAAATTAACTATAGATACCTCTTTGAAGAAGCCTGCCTCGAAGGGGATGAGAAATATAACAGTCGCTGGACAAGATGAGAGGTATCGTTTTGTTCTGAAGAGAGTATTTTGAAGAGAGTATTTTGAGGGTATTTTGAAATACCCATGCAAAGAGCTAGCAGAAACTAGGTTAACCAGCTGGTGAGGGAGATGACTAAGGAGGCAGCCCGAGATCTGAGCAGGCAGGAGAGTCTGCAATTTCAGGGTATGGAGATGATACACCTTCACCAGAAATGTGCCTTGCTCCAGATGTGGATGCAGCTAGCCAACATCTGTTCTCCCTTCTTCATCCTATTCCCAGCCAGGGGCAGAGGAGAAGATGCTCCAGGGTGGGCCTGAGTAGTCTAAGCCAATCAGTGACATCCTGCTCCTCTGACACACGGATAGGTCCAGAAATGGGCAAGTGACCTGGGCCAGTAAGACCTAAGCAGGCATTTGAAAGGGGCTTCAGAAAAAATAAAAAAGAAAGGTTCCCACTCTTCTGAAAGAGCTGCAGGAAGCCACTCCTCTCTCTTGCTAAAAGGGAACAAGAAAGTGTGTGGCCCCAACTGCTGCTGGCAGCCATCCTGCAACCACAAGGGAACTGCCCCAGGATGAAGCCACAGCTGCATGAGGAGCAGACGGAGGAAAAGCTCCTGGGTCCTTGGTGAGGTCTACCTGCCCTGGAGCCTGCCTTCCTCTGGACTTTGAGGGGAAAAAGCCACATTAAGCTGGGTTTTCCAGTACTTACAACCCAGAATTCTCTCACTGATAAAACATCCCTTCCACCATGACAACACGAACAGGACAAAAGGAGAGTCAGGAACTGAGGGAGATGATGGAATTTCCACATTTTTCTGTGAAGTACACAGTGATCCCGCTGTGTGAGGACTGTGGAGCTCGGAGAGAGTGTGGAAGCCTGTACCCGGCTGCCCGGGGCGCTGGGCAAGACCTACCGCTGCCTGGGGCCACCCAGTGAGCCTGGCGGGCCGCCCTGAGCACCCAGAGGAGGGCCGGAGACACGTGCAGGTGCAAACAGCACAGAGCTGTGCTCCTGCGGGGCCGCCCCTGGGTTCACTGGGGGACTGACCACACAGGGAGGAGTTGGGGCATCAGCGCAGAAGCTGCTGAGGTGATGAACCCCGAGGTCTGGGCTGCACTTGAGAGGGAACACAGGAAGGGGCTGATGGGCAAAAGAAAAGAAAAAAAGAAGGGATGAACTAGACATCTCCTTGGATCAAAGACCCGGAATCGAGAGCACCAGGGCGGCAGTCTTGGCAAACAGTCCCCAGCACAACCCAAGGCAGGGATCTGGGCCCGCACCCTCCACGCCCATCGCCACCCCTGGTTCATGAGTGCTGTTTCAAGATTAGCTGCACGGGTAAGTTCGAGGGAAGCTCGACAGACACAGTAAGAACTCAGAGGGGCCTTATTCACCCCGCATCACCTAGAGCTACACACACATCGGTCGCTTGCAGGGGGTGTTTTCAAGTCTTGTTCTAATGTTTGAGAGGGAAACATCCCCTTGCTGCAGAGGCAAAATGAGGGACACTGCCAGAAAAGCACCCCTCAAGCTGGTCTTTGTAAAGAACTCACCTCCGCGTTCATCTTGGTCTCTTCCTTCAGTGGCTGTGAAGACAAAAGCAGAGGTTCAGGACCCTGGTGGCACTTGCCCAAACTCCACGCCAGTGCTTCCCTTTGCTGCTCCCTTCTCCCCCTCTACTTCCTGTCCCTCCAGCCTTGTCCTCCCCAGTGTCCTCACCACCCTGTGCCCTCAGCAAAGGGGCCCAGGCCGGTGTCTACCCCGGGATTGGTGGTGGCTGACTTCCCTGGGACATCACGCCAGCAACGTTTCTCTAGAGAAGGGCATTTCCAACCCCCAGGTCCAGCTCCGACATGGGAGGAGCAGCTGCAGACGTGATGCCTTCATGGGATGACGCACTTCCCAAAGCTGGTGCTGGAGAGGACAGCTTTTCATCTGGCTGTTATGGCGACAAGCCAGGCAATAAAAACACACACCTTTCCCCTGCTGCTAGCTGAATTTCCAGAAGACTGCAACTTACTATTTAAAAGAACAGTCCAACAGGCTGCTCTGCGCTCTCAGCAAAGAAGAACGAAGGAGGGAGTAAACAGTGAGCCGGAGTCAGAAGGAATAAGGGAAGAGAAGAGGAGATGAGGGAAATAGGAGAGGGAAACAAAAGAAATAAAGAGACAGTATGGCTTATCCATGGTTCCAAACTTCAATGCACTCCTTGGACTGCTTATTGAAAATGCACATTTCTGGCCAGGCGCAGCGGCGCATGCCTGTAGTCCCAGCTACTCAGGAGGCTGAGGCAGGAGGATTGCTTGAGCTTAGGAGTTTGAGGTTACAGTGAGCTATGATGATGCCACTGTACTCTAGCCTGGGTGACAGAGCAAGGCTCTGACTCTTAAAAAAAAAAAACCCAAACAAACACCCCCCTCCCCACATTTCTGGATTCCATCCCCAGATTTTGATTCAGAAGGCCTGGAGTGGAGGGGAGGCTAAGAGTCTGCACTTTCATCAGGCATCCAGGGGACTGTGCACAGACATTCAGGAGCCCCACTTGGAGAACACTAGAATTAAGAGAATAGAGAGGTCCATAAAGAGAGAGAGTAATTTTTTCTTTCTTTCTATTTTTTTTTTTTTTTAAGACAGAGGTCTCACTCTGTCACTCTGGCTAGAGTACAGTGGCATCATCATAGCTCACTGCAGCCTCAAATTCCTGGGCTCAAGGGATCCTCCTGCCTCAGTCTCCCAAGTAGCCGGGACTACAAGTGCATGCCACCAGGCCCAGCTAATTTTTCTGTTTTTAGTAGAGATGGGGTCTCACTCTTGTTCAGGCGGTCTCGAACTCCTGAGCTCAAGCAATCCTCCAGCCTCAGCCTCCAGGATGCTAGGACTGATTACAGGCATGAGCCATCGCATCTGGCAAGAGTAATTTTTTCATTCATTTTTCAGAGCTGCTAGAATTGCCACTGTACTTTAACTCTAACAGGGCAGGCAAGAGCAGGGCAAATGGATCCCAGAAGTGATGAAAGAAGCATAATTGTCTCTCTAGCCCCTCCACTTGGGAAGCCAATGCAAAGGACTGCTCCCAGCTCACAGAGGCCTCTGAAAAGAGAAGGAACCAGCTCTGCATTTCATCTTACTCTTTTGGGTTAAGTACAGGGATGACAGCCATGAATAGTAATAGTGAAAAAATAACACCCCCTTTGCCCCCCCCACAAAGAAAACAACCTTGACTCTTGGCAACCCTAAGACTACCTGGGCTTTGTGCTGCAAATGATACTTCTTTCCAAAAATCCCTCTTCCTTCTCCTTTTTCCTGCTATGAGAGTGGGTCTCAGGACACAACCTGGCCAGCACACAAATGCTGCCTTTCCTTTGGCAATCTGGAGCCTGTTCTTATCTCCTGAAAAATCTGAAAAAGGGGAACTTGCTAGAAGAAAAACTCTATAAAAATACAGATATAACAAAGTGAGTACACTTTCTTCTCACATCCTGGGGAAACAGTATGGGTATGATGCTTTTTATGCACAAAGTATCTCAGAAGGCTAACTAAGACACTGAGAGTTAAGGGGGGTGGGTGTGAGGGGGGTGGGAGTTTGGGGTGTGGGTGTGTGAAGCCAGAACTAAGTGGAGGAGGCTTGCTGTGCACTGGCCCCACAGAACACACTCTCCTGGCTGCCCGGAAGCTCTGCAGAGATGCCCTTCCCAAAACTCTGCAGTGCTTTACTTTTATTTTTAAGAACTTTAGTTCAAGCCTCCCTTGGAGCTTTCATGTGAGTGAGAAAGTCAGATAACAAAATGCACAAATATGAGGAGGAAGATAACAGATATGAGCCTGTTTGTCTCAGCTACTTTACATACATTAATCCTAATCCTCTCAACCTTGGCAAAAAAGCTAACATTAATTCCATTTTACAGAGGAAATACCTGAAGTTCAGGGAAGACAGAAGCACTTGGCCTTACAGCCAAGCCATTGTGGCTCTGCCCTGCAATTTCCAGTTTTTCTTGCTCTAGAGTCAAACCCCAGATTAGCCCCCGAGGCCCTGACAGATTCAGTCTCACACTCACCCAGAGCCTCTAGACAAACAGGAGGCCTGGGGGTTAGATCTGCGTCAGTCCTGGACTGCTAGGGCAACCATGGCCAAACAGGTTCCACATCTGTAGGCTGAACGGTTGGACTTCATCTCTAAGGTCTGTTCCACTCTAAAATGCTCTCTGGTTCCCAGAAAAGGAAATCCAGGCAACTCTTATGACAGGTGGAATAATACTCAACCTCAGTTACCATCACAGAATGTAAAGATGGTGTCCCAAGATGCCCTATCAGACGACCGACCAAAATGTCGCCGGGAGCCAGGCGTCACGCGTTAATCCTGAGCTCAGCGGAGCAGAGGCAGGAGATGTTGAGGTCAGGAGTGGGAGACCAGCGGGCGAGCAAGAGGAGCATCGGGTGTACAAAAATGAGACAACAAGGTTAGGCCGGGCGAGCGAGGGTGGCGGATGGCCCTGTAGGGCCTAGCTGCTCCTAGCTGAGCAGCAGGATGCTAGCCCAGATTGAGGTTGCTGTGAGCGGTAGGCTGATGCCAGCAGCACGTCACTGCTAGCCTGGCAACAGAGCGAGGACCCTCGTGGCCGGCCGGGGGGTCTCAAAAAAAAAAAAAAAAAAAAAAAAAAAAAAGGTTGCCACAGTGTGTTGTCAGAGGTGTGGGGAATCAATCTCGACGATTTTAGGACAAGCATCTCAAACATGCTCAGGCAGGTATCATCCTCGGTGGGAAGCCAGTTAGCAATATCATTAAAATTGCAAATGCACCCAACCTCTTGACCTGAGCAATTCACTGACCCCCTAGTCTGTCTCCAGCCACATTTGGAAGCATTGCCCCGAGACTTTGTCCTTGTAGAAACATTAGCCACTGCTTGCTTTCCCTGGCTAATGGGTCCGTACAGAAAGCGTTTCCTATAAGAGCAGTTCAAAAGCAGTACTATGCACTTTACTGGTTCTCCCACAGACTCGGAGAAAGCAAACAAAACAAACAGGCAAAGAGGTGAGGGAGCGGATACAGTGTTCGGACGGGGAGAGACCGTGCCGTACCTACGAAGGTCGCTCCCACATGGCCGTAGGGCACACCCAGATGAACGTGCCTGCTGGCTGTTGAAAGAGAGCGCACTGCGCTGCGGACGCCCGGTAGGTCGCTCGCGGTGAGTAAGCTGACTCATTTTGTGAGAGGTCGTCGCGGTGTGCCCAGGCCGGGTGTGAGCGTGAGTGCCAGTCAGCCTAGCTCACAGCACCTCAACTCCTGCTCAGCGGAGATGGCTCTGGCCTCAGCCTCCGAGCAGCTGCAGGATACAGCATACGCAGCCATGCCAGCTATTTTTTTTTCTATGATATATGTTTAGTTGTCCAGGTAATGTTTTCGCGTATGTTGATAGTAGGAGATGGGGCTCACTCGTGCTCAGGCTGTTTGACTCCTGACCTCGAGCAATCTGCCTGCCTTGCCTCCCAGCAGTGTAGGAGCAGCACGAGCCACGCTCGCTGCTACATTTTGGTATTTAGTTGTATTATTTTTGAGACGAGTCTGCTTGTGCCGCCAGGCTAGAGGGATGCCGTGGCGTCAGCCTAGCTCCACAGCAACCTCAACTCCTGCTCAAGCAATCTCCTGCCTCAGCCTCGCGAGTAGCTGACTACGGATGCGCCACCGGGGGAGGCCCGCTGATTGTATATGTATATAGTATTGGTTGCCATTAAGTCTTCGATTGTTGTATGGGGTAGAGACGGCTCGCTCAGCTGGGTTGTGAGACTTCCGGGACCTCGAGGCAATCCGCCCACCTCGCCTCCCAGGAGTGTAGGTTAGACGGCGTGAGCCGAGCGTCGCGCGCGCGTACAGGTTGTGTATGTTTTAATCAACCGTGAATTGTGATTTTGGGGTATATGGCATAAGACTCTAATTTTACTTTTCCCCAAATAGTTGCATTGTTTTCACATTATTTATTCGATATTTCATCCTTTCCTGCAGTAACTCCATACCTAAATTCTATGAATATAGTTATTGTTTTTTTTCACTCTCTCTGGGGTGCCATGGACCTCTACTCCCACGCTTCTAATATGTTAGAAAAAGAAGAAGAAGGAGAATCTTGAGTTAGTTCCTGAATTGTTGCATAATGACAAATGATAGCTGAGGCTGCAGTGGTTCACTGGAAAATTGAAAAAAGTCAATATCTTTACATAAATCACCTGCTTTAAACAGGTTTCTCCTCCCTCCATATCCACTGCAGCAAGTCTACTGAACAGTCTTGGAACTTGAACCTTTATCTACTTTGACCCCCAAAACACAGTGCACTCAGGTGTACAGAGACAAGCTGTTCCTCCAGGGGATGAAGAGCCAGCCCGTCACTCAAGAGACCAGAATTCCAGACCTGGCTGGGGCACCCACTAGGTGTGGGATCAAAGCCAGGACACATGGTTCCCTGTGCCTTGCACCTTGAACAAGAAGAGGGGGCAGATGAACTTAGATAACCCCAAAGTTCTTCTGTGCTGACATGCTAGAATTCTAACCCACTTTACTTCTATTTTTTTGTTTGTTTGTTCCCTTTTAGTGTGACTTTCTTGGTGTTTGGCTTGGTTAGCTTTTCTTCTGGCTCCTCAAGTAAACCAGGGTGAGGCTCAAGTTGCAGGGGCTCACAAAGCAGCCCCCATCAAGGCCCCAGACACACGAGCACTCAACAGGTACAGCTTTTTCCAAAAAACAGCCACTCTTTTCCCTGCCCCACCTGTCCATCTGCTCTGTGTCCCTCCCATTCCTCCTCATTGACATTTCAAAACCTTCTACCTTTCATTGAAAGTGATCTTAATTTAATACGAGAGAAATGAGATAACATGAGGCAAGTTACTCTTACTAAGGAATAAATATCTGGCATATTCAAAATTGGAAGGGTATACCCATGTTTTAAAAGAGCTGCTTATTAACTCAAATAATTGCAGAAAAATGTGCAACTCAATTTCAAAATTGGGTTGAGATCAGGACATTCTGGAGGCCCACACATGTTCTTAGGCACTGACCCCCTCAAAGGTACAGATCATAATTTTGATCCCTTATTGCTGAAAGACAGGTTCTTTCTGGCTAAGTGCTACAGGAAATCCAGAGCTGATGAACAGCTGAGCACACACAAGTACAACTCACAACTAGGATGTGTAGGGGGAAGGAATACAAATATGCTACACAGGCAAAATATGTGCAGATCGAACTTTTGTTGCTAACATTTTAAAAGTTCAGTAATTCTGCTTTTAAAGATTTCTAGAGAGAACATATTTTCTTTTCTTAGCAGATAAATCAA